GGGGGGGGGGGGGGGGGGGGGGAGGCGGTTCTTACCCCTTCTCCGCCGGCTCAATCATCTCCTTCTGAATGTCATCTACCTGGAATCGCAACGGTGACGCCGTATGGATTACATAGTTCAGCGGCGTCTTGACGCGTTGGAATAGATCATCGAAGGGCTGCTCCGAAGTGAAATCGGCGACAACGATGAAGTCCACTTTCCCTTTCCATTCAGGGTGGGTTTGGAGGATGTCGTCGGCCTTCTTCTGGGACCGCACCGTGGCGGTGATCGCATAGCCGCGCTGTCCAACATTGACACTATTAGCTTTGATATACCCATTGTTTCTATCGATCAGAAACCGCAGAATGTGCCTACCTCAATAAGAATGGAGAGGATGTGCGAGGCGACGAAGCCGTTGGCTCCGGTGAGCAGAACGTGTTGGCCGGATCCAACTGGTGACATTGTGGAGGGACAGCGAGAGCAGCGCGTTTCTTTGATGATAAGATGGCGGAAATGCTAGTGGGTAGTCGAGATGATATTTCCTGCCCAGGACAGTATTGTTTATGAAAGATTGGCCGCGTCTATGAAACACATTTCTCGATGTGATGATGATGATGATGATGATGATGATGATGATGATGATGATGATGTTAGTTCACAAAGCTTACCCCGGCCAAGTCATGACGTCAGTATCAAAGGAAGGCCCGTGAAGTACAGCTGGGTTTCCATTCGGAATTCCCAATTTGTGCTCCCCCATCGTGGGGGAATAGTGAGCAGTGTCTAAAAACAAAGGTAAGGTACTAGTAGTGATGATAATTCCGGGGTTGTGGCAGCTGAGCCGGAATCCATCCGTAGGGCGTAGGGCGTAGGGCGTAGGGCGTAGGGCGTGGACGAAATAGGTTTTGTCTACTGTACTGTACCACCGAAAATTCAATTTGGAAGAGAACTGAATGTACACCAATTGCTATTTCCGTTGACTTGAAGGTACGCTCTTGCTCTATCCCGTGTACTTCGATCCTGTCCTCCTGGCTGTGACATACACACCGAAGGGATTGGCTTTTTCTTTCCCGGTCAAGCATGGCAATTCGTGAGGCTAGCCTCGTAAATTCCACGAAATTCCGCCTTTCGGGTACTTATGAGTACCAGCCCAAGGACAGCCCCCATGGATTAACTACTGCCTTACCTGCCAACATTAACTAAGCTGCCAAATGAGGTTCTCCCCGCAGACAACACCACCGCCTCCCATGTCGTCACGTGTGGTTAATGCCTACATGAGACATACACTGAAGGAAAAATGGAAGAAGAAATAGGGGCATTCAAAAGAAGAATCCAGACAGATGTATTTTACCTGACTCGCGCAAAAGTCGCTGCAGTGGATAGGGACTGAAGAGGGTGTCTTCTTACAGCCAGTCTCGTTCCACCCACTGTATGGACACTACAGTAATCAGCTCAAATCAGATAAGATAATCCCTCTCCGCCTCTCAGAGGTCCAGCGATCGCAGAGAAAAACAGCCCCGCAAAAAGTGCTTCCCACCCTATTTGAGTAACCGTCCTTGTTTCGAAACCTCCAAAGCTAGATATCCATGGCGCCATTCATCCGATTTCATTTTGGCCCGGTCGTCTGTGTTATTTCCCCTACTGCCAAGTGTCTCCTCGGTGGATCCAAACCGGAGTCTCGACTGTGATGTGGTTGTGTTGATGTCGGGCAAAGGCAGTCAGTCATGTGGACAACAATAAAGTCTGCTACGCGACGTTCATGATGAAACACACCATCCCACCCCGGCAGCGACAGGACATTTCCACGCAGCCAGCCAGCCAGCCAGCCATACCTCTATCATCCCAAGGTGAAAGAAAGGGGGGGCCCTTCAACCCGAACCACCACTCATACGACACGTACTAATTTAAGCACGTGAAACTAAACCCCAAGCGGTAAGATGTTATGATCGCCCGCGGCCGAATTATTGCCTTTAGCCTAGTAAGTCTACTCGGCACCACCGAGTCCGAAACACGATCCTGCCGATCATCTTTCCCTTTTCCTTCCACGGGCTTCCCTGTAACTTTACCCGAGACCCTAATTCTGGGTTTGGTGCCGATCGGCCCCTGACGTACCGGACCGGCAGCCTACACAGTACTAAACTTCACCGCTACTCCGGGATGGACTTGAAAAAGAGGAATTGAACAGAACAATGCTAATATTCAGATTTCATCGAAATAATAACGCTAAATTTACCGGAACTCGAAGTGGCCGTCGATGTTGAACAGACGCTCGGCGAGGTTGATGTCGCGAACGTGCCAGTTGCCGTGCTCGTCGCGGAGCTCACCGCGGACGACGGGGACGTGGGCACCGCCCTCGATGTCGAAGTGCACCCCGCGGGCGGTCTCGAAGAAGTTGTGGCCGCCCCATTGGAAGTGGCCTAGCCGGATAATTAGTAACGGAGGTTGGTGGTGGGAGGTAGAAGTAGTCAAAAAAAAGGTGCATACCGTCAATGTTGCCAATGAAGTGGTTCAGGTCAATGTGGGCGGGGTGCTCCTGGCCGTGCGCATCGCGGAGGAGGGCGTGGAGGAAGGGGCCCTCGAGACGGATGGAACCGTGGACGGCGGACTCTTGGAAGCTCATTGTGGAGGTTTTGAGGGTATATGGGAATTTATGAGATGGGAGTAGTAGATTGAGGTTGGATGAGGATGGATTGAGGATGAAGGTCAATTCCAGAGGGCATGGAGCTCCCTTTTATAAGCTGCGTGTCGCTCTCCTTTTCCCTCGTCGGAGGGGGGCTATCATCCCATGTCGGTCTGTCTTGCCCGCATTGACTGCTTGGCTGGTGGGGATCCGTATTCGTCTACGTACGTCGTTGAATCGCGACGGTGAAGGCCGGATGGGCCATTTCTGGCGAGACAGCCACAGTGTCTGGGTGGTTTGGGGGTGGAGGGGCATGGAGGGGCTGTGAGGCTGAGCCGAGGAATTGTGAGGCGTGGCTGAGAGGCGTACACAGAAGGACGGCTGAAGAGATAGCTCGTATCCACTTTCCGTCAGATCGGGTAAGGCGAAGCGGTGTTGGTGGTGGGTCAAGGGGGGTGGCGATTACCTAATAGGTATGGACCATCGCATCTTGAAGGCCTTGGAAGTTGAGCTTGTCTACGTAGTATGGGGTATCCCTGCACCTGATCATGGCCGATCTGGAAAGCTTGAGGCGATGTCGTGATGAGGTGGCGAGGATCAACGGACTATGATGGGTGGTGTGCCGACGAGTCAACTTGTGACGAGTCCGATATCTGACAAACTTACAGCACTCTAGTCTGACGCAAGTATCTTGCGGCATTTATTGAGGCATTATTGAAACAGCTTAACATACAGTCAGAAATTGAAGATGATGGAAGTGTATAGATTCAGTCAGGCAACGTAGAAGATATGGCTATCAACCACCAATTCCGGTCTTCTACCGCCGCCTCAATTGGTCAAATTTCTCTAGGGATAAGGTAAATTCAAAGAGAGGCAATATGGCTGAGCTGGTCGCCCCTTCCATCATACAGACTTTCCAGGCTCATCTCTGTGACCTCAGACCGATATGCAGGTCTCATTGCCACTGCAGGTATCACTCGGCCCCGCCACAGTGTTGCCAACTCCCATCCTCCAGATACCGGGACTTACTTCGGCTGTATTCGCTCCAAGTTGGTCAAACCGACCCAAGTCCCAGAGTACTCAAGCCCGGGTACCTTATCTGACGTCTGCAAAACTTGTACACCAAAGTCCTTAGCATTTCTCTACTTTCTTGAACTAAGTATACTGATAGCCTACAAGCTTGATAAGGCTGGTCGGAGTATCAGGATTTTCGATTCCCAGCAATTTCCGGTAGATTTCTCCTACTGGGGCTTGCAACCTTTAAGCTCTATTCCATTGATCTAGCCATGGTATGTTGATGGCAGTTTGCCTATGCCTCTAATAGGATCGAGATAGTTCAGATTCAGAATAGTGCTGGTGCCTGCATTCTGTTCAATCTGAGTGCAAAGAAACTCCGGCTGAATATTTCGGTGATATGAACAACGAACAATCGAAGAGCACTGGATGAACACCGGGCGGATGGTTGTTAAGGATAGAGGTCTTTGAGTGATTCTAATGACACAAATCTTCCCGATTGAAGTAGCGTTAGTTTCGAAGACGCGAGGGTAAAATGCGGTTTCATTGAAGACAGGAATCGTGACTACTATAGATGAGGGGTTAGTATAAGCTGTCTGGTATGCACCATGATTTTCGGTGCAGGATTTTAGAAACACAATGTGTGGAATTGAGATGCTGCTAACATCGTGATTACAGCAATGTTTTGGGCATACATTGCAAGTAGAATAGTCAGCATCGCTGTAGGTTAAAGCACACGAACAGGCAATTCTTACAGAGAGCAGGTAAGATATACATGACGCAAGGTGACTCTTATAAGGGTAAATAAGAAATAATACCCCAGGGATCAGAGAGAGCAGGTGATGACCACGGTCCAGAAGAGGGTTATCAGTATCACAAGCATATCAATGTTGAGACAGCTCCTTACTGGAAAGCTGTACATGCTCGATACAATACGGGATCATACTGAGACAAATTGGGGTAAAACAGAAAAGAAAATAGAGAATTATGACAGTGGCGTGGGGGCGGAGTATACATCTTTAATATGAATCATCTGACAGTCCGTGGGCCAGCTGTGTACATTCCTGTGCGAAAGCAAGTGTCTCATTGAAGAGTAAGGTGGTAGAGACTTGTTTTGGATTCTATGCATACGATTAGATCCTGTTAAACTACCTCAGGCATCTAAATCTGCTCAATAAGCAATGCGCAACCTAAGTGCATTACGATTGGAATCTTGTGCCTTTGCAGGGGCTTGAATGCTGTGAATTTGGACATACTGACAGCACGTGATGTTTGATTTAATTCGGTTCAACTTCCAACTAAAACAACGGGAGAAAGTCTTAGACAACAACATATCTGGAACAGTTCTGAGAAATCAGAAAGGGAATATCAGTGGTAAAGACCAATCTCGGGAGGCCGTCTGTACTCCATAGACCACTGCCAGCTCTCGTTCATATAAGCGGAAGGATAGAGCTGAGCCTGATCATAGTACACCTTCATCCAGCCGACATCCTCCCACGTACAGCCATACAATGGCTCACAATCATCATCCTCTATCTTTTCATTGGATTCCTCTATACTAGCTCGCTCTTTGAAGTGCCTGCTATTCACGAGCATCACAAAGCCGGTCCTGTTATCGCCATCCAGATCTTGGCGTGGAATAGCCAGAACAGAGCGCAAGGCCTCCTCGTCCACCATGATGCAGAATCTGTACCGTGCTATGAAGTCATACCCGAAATCCGTAGATGAAATCCCTTGCTCGGTTTCAGACGCCATAGGCGCCCACTCGTTGAAATGATCCCGTATATTGTCCGGCGTTGCCCCATCGAACCGCGTCCTATCGTCCATCACAGTCGGTCTAAAGGAATCGAGTATATCCAGGCCATCGTAATATTCCTCCAGTGGACTTCTTACTTTATAGAGAAGACGAGACATGAGTTCCTCCCAATCGGCGTCACTTTTATAGGTGCAACGGTAGATGACTAGGCCCCAGATCCTGCAGCCCCGATTGAGCATGTGCTTCTCGATCACATCGGCTGGGTTTGAATTAAAGTCCATCCATGGAGTACGTTTAGAGTCCGGGAGACCGATCATGGCGAGAGATGATGAGAACGATAGCCATCTTTTTCGAAGTTGAAAGGGTCTGTTTTTCATGCAAACTTGTGGCGTGGATTTCTCAGAAGATAGACGGTGACCATTCCCGCCAAGCCGCAATGAGGAAAATAGAAGGTGGTTAGGCAATGTCTTGTACGTGGCGCTCAGGAATTGGTATAGCTGCCTCTCAAGAAGATTTCTGGTACCCAGTGTAAAAGGTGACATGCTAACAGTCTCGCAATAGGCTTTGTAGCTGAGAGGGTGGGGGTGGTCGGTAACAGTGAGAGGAACATAGGAGGGAACGTCCCGGCGTGGAGTACTTATATCTTATTCAAGTGGTACTGTGCATAACCCATCACGTGATTAATAGGCACTTTTCAGAAAGGTCGGTGATTTATCACAGAATCTGAAGTCTTATTAGAGTAATGGTGTTTTGAACTATGATTCAAGTAAGGTAGCTTATGTATTGGAATTTATTCTATAGGAGATTCAATTCTATCCAGCGGAATTGGCAACAGTGAAGAGCTCTCTGAAACTTGGATAGACTGCTGCAATAACCTCAACAGTGATCTTTCCAACTTCTGCTAGATATGTTTGTTTTTTCCGCGCTCATTGAACAATTGAAGCTCGCTTCTTTGCGGTAGTAAACAGAGCTTTCATCCTGCCGTCGTCTGGGCACCAGCCAGGGAAGAGCGAGCATAAATCCTCACCGCACATCGCTGTTCGCGAGCTGCTTTCTTCACAGTACAACAGGCGACCTTCTTTCTGCTCCAATCGCATCCCGAGCTGGAATCACCATATTGGGCCCGATCGATAGTCAGCTCGGTGGAGGCGCACTTGGCGTTCGCACAGTCATTGCCCGAGCTCCCACCCACCTAGTGGCAGTCGCTCAGATTAGCGGGGGTCGAACAGCAGTACTTCTGGCCCTTGGACCAGCGGGTGTCCCTCTTGACGAACATCTCCGTACTGCCGCTAGGGCAGTTATTGTCACTAATGATCCCAGTCAATGTTCACCCCATCTCTTCGGGGTTGGAAAAAGCATTGACATACCAATACGCGCATCCGCCAATAACCTCACTATACTCCGGATCAGGGCAGCAGAATACTTTATATCCTCGACCAAATTAATCTGTATTGCCGTCATTCACGAATCCACCGCCCCCAAGATGATCGGATGCCAGCGATGTTGATCTTTCCCGCCTGACACTACGCATTGCAATCCGAGCTTACGCCCGTATCCCCGGTGTTATCACCACGCCACATGCAGTTCTTGGGTGCGCTGCTCGTTCGACAGCAGACAGGTTTTCTGCAGTGCTAGTGGCGCCGAGTCATATCAACGCTGCACAACAAGCAAAGGGAAAGGGAGGGGAAGCGTACACAGCTCTTCTTGCCGCATCCAGCGTCGGTCTAGCCCACCACGGTGTATTCACTGCCACAAGCATCGGCCATTGCATCGTTGTCGTTGAGGTTCACGCACTTTTCGTCATATTTGAAGCAATTCTGTCCGTTGAAACTGGCCAAGCTCTGGATGACGGACTGGGGGTTGGACAATGCCTTATCAACACTTTGCAGGGTAGGATTGAACATGATGGTTTAATTCGTGAGACCAGCGTGGGCTGTGTATTTATCATTATCTACCGCCCTCCATGTTAGAACCTCAGCCTAAGTAGTAGTCGAAATTGCAATTGAATTCTTTTACTCACGTAAATCAGAAGCCCAGATCATGGCACCGCCAATTCCGACCTCATTCACCCACGCGACCTTCTGTGCAAATGTAGTCGCATCGTCGTAGGAAACCCACTGATCGCCGTCAAAGGTGAAATAATTAACCGCGTCTGTCTTGTCATGTACGGGTGTAATAGTCGACCGTTTTGACGATGTGCTGGCGCCGTTCAAAACGTCCATGACCTCATAATAAGCTAGTATACCACCTGTGTCCGAGCAACAACCGGGGCTTGAAGCATCCTTGAACGGACACCCAGGCGTTGTGCACGACTTATCAGCTAGGGTAAATGAGCGTCCATAAAAGCCAAAGCCCATTACAAGCTTCTCTGGCGGAATGTTCACTCGCCAGAAAAGATCAGCTGCGAGCTTAATCTCCGTGAAGTTAGTATGAGCTTGGACAATACTCCAATAGGATCCGTCGAGTCGCACACGCCGTGTATATCGTAAGTCATGATGTTGATCCAGTCCGCATATTTAATCATATTCGGCAGATCAAACCAGCGCAAATACCAGTAGGATGAAGGGGCCGTAAAAGTCAGACCAAAATTACTTCTGCTGGCATCGAAGGTCTCGCGCAGGGCCTTGAGAAAGAGCCCATAGTTCTCCGTGTCCTCAGGGCTGCCGCCTCGGTCGCCGGCATTCGGATGCTCCCAGTCGATATCGAGTCCATCGAAGCCCAACTGCTTCAGGAAATGCACGACGTTGTCCGCGAATGTCTGTCTCTTTGTCGCATCCGCCGCGATTTTGCCATAGACAGGCTGCGTGGCGGTGCTGTTGTCGGAGAAGGTCCAGCCACCGACGCTCACGAAGACCTCAATATCAGACTTGATTGACTTTACGTTCGTAGTGTCCTGGAACAGGGTGGAAGGTGTGTCACTGTCCATTGTTACGATTTGGTACAAGTCTGGATCGATGTACGCAAACGGGAAGTTTATACTTTGAAAATGATCAGTGTAGGGCACTTCCCATACTCAATCTGACTGCGAATACTCACTGCGTCAGTGCATCCAACAGCAGGTCGGTGGGAGTCACTTTGTGAAAGCTCTTCCGGGCCATCCATGATTCATAACACTTTGTTTTTCAGAATATTTACAGATGCAGCGCCGGCTGGAGGCTCCGGGTTCAAGACACAGTTGCTCTGATGTCCAGCTGGATTAGGTTAGTCGTCGCTAGGAAAAGCCATAGATGGTTACATAGCGATACGTACGTCCGCAAAAGTCTTTTGTGGTACCGCACTATGTATGATTAGACTTGACGAACGAGATAAACCTGAACACCAAGGTGGATAATACTCACAAATCCATATTCACTGCAGCAAGCATTAAGAGGACATTCTTGGCCAGGGCTAGCAGCATGTTTGCCGCACCGGGCTGTTGCATCACAGTTCGACAAACAGCCAGTACCACAGTAGGTCGGACCATAACCACAGGAGCCGCTGGCGCCACAGCACGCCCCATTGCTGCATGGATTCTCAGCGTCGCATGAGTAGCTATCTCGGCGACTAAGAGTGTGGTGGCTGGGTTTCACTGGTGAAGTGTTGGCATGCTTCGCATGCTGTCTAATATGCTTATCATGTAGAACGTGCCCATGCGAGGAGGCGTTGGTGATTGGGGGGAAGGCGCAGATGAGCAAGAATGTTGTAACGGCCAGTCTGAACAGCCTTCTTGACGGCTTTCTAGCCAAAGCCCCTACCAAAGGCATAATGCAGGCACCGTCCCAGTAGAAAGGCACCGCGGAAAGACCGACGAGAAGAATGATCACAGAGCAGAATCAAGGACCAAGGGGCCGCCTCTTAACCCCATGTTCCTTTCTCTACTAGTATTAGTAGTAAGAGTGCTAGTGCTATTAATACGCTTAGTTGTCCAGATTTTGTGCCGTACAGGAAAGGTATGCTGTAGGTGATTTGGTTTCAACTCCAAGATTCATCTCCGGAGTTTCCATGCAGTCGTATCCAATCCAGTCATGTTTTGACCAAAACGGTAGATTAGATGCCATGCTTGTAAAGTAGGCAGGTCTCATGAGAATGCTGCTAATTTTCAGCTTATAGAGTCATATATTAGAGTATTCAAAGTGCAATAACCAGAAATCTCCACCTAACCCGATTTGCAAGCTCAGAATAGCCTCCCTCAGCCTCAGGATTCCCCTGCACGTCATCATCCACATCATTTCCGGGACTGCCCAAGTGTAAGAACCAATGCACCCTGATCCAAAAAGTTTATCACCGAGTCGAGCCGGCTTGCACATTCCTTGAGTACTACCAGAATCCACAAGATCTGAGAGCCTTTTCTTAAGTCGAGAGCTGGTAGTGGGCGACCGCTGCACAGCAAGCGACCGGTTTCCTCTGTTCCGCTCGTCCTTGAATTCATGTACTCATGACGACACAATTTACGGGGTGGGGCCTCCTTAGGGTTCTTTAAGCCTCTAGACACTGAAACATGCTGCTATAATAGCTGCAAAGGAACGCCTCAGCCTGGTTTACCACCCGTTGTAGAGATCCGGTGGAAGCATAGCAGCACGATCGGCGTGGGAGATCACTAGCTGATTGCGCCGCGAATAATATTCCAGCGTGGCCTTCTGGCCACTCGTGGGAACAGACACAATTAACCATCTCAGCAAGGCTGCTAGCCGCTGGAGGTCGTCCTGATGATTCTCCTCCCATTCTCGGATCTCGGATGCTACACTTGTCGGCAGACACGGAATAAACCAGCCGTCTTGTATGTAGTAGGCACAAGCCAGTTGAGACGTCTGCGACACCCACATTTGAGGTAGGACCTGCTGCAGATCCACAGGCTCTCGCCTGGCCTTGGTCTTGATCTCCAGTATGGACTGCGTGGGAACGGTTTGGCCTCCTGCGCAGATCCTCAACGCCGAATATGGAGAAATGACCATAGGGAGACCTAAGATACTTGGGCTGCTCCGCCCCATCGCTGAAACCACGTTGTCACCCGGCGAGACGTATCCGTCGGTCTCATACCGCACCAAGCACGACAGTCCCGCAAAGTCATAGGACACGATTCGGTAGTGGCCCGTACTGTCTGGGATTCGACGGCTAGTGGTTGCATTCTCAAACTCATGGCCGAACCCGCGAAATTGCCGGCGAGGTATGAACTCCCGGGTCCATATCTCTTGGCGACAGAGAAGCATAGTCCTCCCCTGTCGTTCAATTTGGATGGTGAAATCCTCAAGGCGGCTCCGGTTGTGTCTCGGGTTGATGAATGTCAACAGCTTCCGGATGTTGTTGCGGTCCGTCACAATGTCCACTGCGCTGATGTCAAAGGCGGGATGAGTGAAGTACAAGGTGCGGAAGAGAGGCTCCATCGGGCTGGCCGGGTGACGCGCTGCATTCTGCGCGATGTACAGCAGTCCTGAGTCCTTGGGCACCTTCAACAGGTTCCCTCGTCTCCTCTTGGTTGGCCACCGTGGACTCCACAGATTAGGACTGCCGGGGATAGCAATCGTAGGGTAATCGGATTCAATCCAATTATAGGATGCTAGGTGTTGCACCTTGCTGATGGTTGCTGCGGCCTCTGAATCTGGCCGCAGCTCGTTTGTGAACAACGTGGAGATAATAGTGGGTTGCATTGCAGCTTTGTGCTGCTAGTATCGCAGGTATTGGCAGGGAATTCGTCAGATAAGGAGAATGAAGTGAAATATTGACTAACATGGTATGTATAACTAAGGGGCAGACGGAGCATATATAGGGCTGTTCAGATGCTCCGTGGCTGGGCATCGCTTGACTGTCTCAGGGACTTTTCCTTAAGCGTTCAGATAAACCCAGTATAACATCAACTCTCATAAGAAGTTCACTTACCCCCCTCCCCACCTTTCCCCCCTAAATGGTGCATGCCACCGTTGATTGGACTTCAATATACTCGGCGATGCGCAAACCATGGAGTTAGCCTTGCATGCGGCGCAGCTCCAGACAATAGATCCAGCTTGACGCAGGCACGCTGTGCCACCGCAGCGGCTATTGATATCGAATGACAGGATACGAACGACCGATTTCCAAGCGCCGGAGCCAACTGCAAGTGAGGTCATACTAAGCTAATCAGCATTATGCGCCCACAACTAGTCCTTGCGGAGCCAATCAGCAATATTGAGGTGCTAAGGCGTTCTAGCCTCAACACCCTCGCTGGTTTAGTATGACGCAGTCCTTAGTGTCGAGTAGCTTGCTCTCAAGGCACTTCAAATCTCTGTTTGAGAAAGCATGTGAGCTTGACAGTTCAGTTCTACCAACCTTTTGATGCCCGACGATGTGCCACATTTCTCTCTGGATGCAATGATGTACATATATCATTGGCGCGAGTTGCAACCAGTACAGCGCCACCAGGCAGACGAGCAGGGTTCGTGCCGCACCGCGCTGCGCCACCAACCAACCCCGCCTCCCCGAAGGCTGTCACTGTACACGAATCAAATTGTCTATCTCTCGCTCAGATGCATCTTCGCCTCACTTTCTATTGTAAGATTCCCACTCGGCCAGCCTTGCGAAATGATCCCCGGACCGGACGGGTCATTCTGACTACCCGTCTTTGGGGGGCCTGCCCTAAATCCGCCAACTATAGATAGATACATAGCTCAACTGCCGCGACCGTTCCAGAGATTCCAAGTCCAGATCTCCCACTATAATTCATTGTGTAGAACTGAGGCCACTACTATCTCATTAAAGAGTCCTCGTCAGACAGCCCACTTCAAACCGGATTTCGATCATGCCCGAGCCAGACCGAGCCACCAGCCTCATGAAGACAGCGTCCAATGTGTCCTCCTCTCGGAGTAAACCCCAGGGCTTCAAAAAGAAGGCTGCCAAAAGATCGCGGCCCCAGAAGCCATGGTCCATGTATCCCGCGCTGCACGAACAGGTGCAGGCGCTCCTCGACGACGAGGGTCTGCATTTTATATTCCATACCAACGATGAAGACGTGGGCGTCGTCAGGCACTATGACACCAGGGTCATGGGCCGGTTTGTCTGCCACAATGCCTCTTGTCAGACCGGAGGGTGGTCCAGCAAGATCATCGCCATCACGGTCCGCTTGTACTCGCCACGCGAGTACAACGCGCGCGTCTATCACCAACACTGTCGGGATTGTGGTTCCATCAGCCGACCCGTCCTCGATGAGTCCTCCTACACAGAACGGATCACGTATCGGCTCAAGAAATGGAGTGGCATTCGGCAGTCGAAGCCCGAGTACTCCCAAGGCCATTCCCGGCGCCCGCACAGTCGCGGCTTGTGCGAGGGCTGCAAGGCCGGTCACTGCATAGAAGGGGCACAACGCCAATATGATGACGATGTGGATGACCTGTGTGTATCGATGGCGGAAATCCTGTAAACTAATCTACTCATGCGCGGAGGTAGTGGGGTCGAGGTGTGTCGGCCGTGTGGTTATATTGTTCCCTGTCAGGCTGGCTTGGTGGGACTTGCACGTCCCCATGACTAGTGCAGTCCGACAGACAGACGATAGGTTATATGAAGGGATTGACTGTGATTGCGATTTTGCTCTCAAAGAGTGCGGTCTAATCGCTTAGGTTGACTGGCTTTAAATCTCCCACGGCTCTAATGTATACTCTAATCCAGTTCAAACAAGCGCGAGCGGTAGACGTTGATTCTCCTGGCAGTAACATTTACACACTAAACAGGTTTATTGCATCGAAAACACTACAATTCGATCTACATGGTAGTTTGAGCTCTGTCATAACAAGAATCCTTTTCCCTTTTCAAATGCAGGATAAACTCTACTATGCCATGTCCTTAAACGTCAGGCGCGCGGCACACTGCCACCCACTTGCATGAGAAAGTCAGATCCTGTGATCTGAGAGACTGGATCCCTCAATGACATCTGCAAAGGCGTCTAGGGTGAAAGCAGCTCGGGTCAATTGTCTGTATGACCCATATACAGAAAGCCATGGACACGATCTGCCTGTTCGATCCACAGTATCAGGGCAGGACTAATATGAGCTGTCTTGGGCTAGACAGACTTCATGGGTGATCAAACCACCGGCAGGTTGCTGGCGCGTTCTGCTTCACTAGATCGGAATTGCCATGGTTGAGCGGGCGAAGCGAGTGGGTTCCAAAAGGAGGAGGCGAGGCATGTCTCACGACTTGCTACCCATCCCAAGACGAGTGTGTGTAGCGTAGTGGGCGTCGTCTGGTGGCAGAAGGATAAGGGCCCTTAGGGCAGGCAACACGTTGCATGAAGTTCGCCCGACCGCCTCATTCTATTTATGAGTGGCGTCTGGCAGGCTGTTGGCGTGAATGTAATGACTCGCATCCCTGCAAGGGAGGGGTGCTCGGACGCCTGGTGATTGGGAGCCACACTCCCGGTAACCATACACACCATGACACAACAGCTCCGTTTTGACCAAGCAGGTTAATCGCTTTAGTACTTCTCCGTGAGGTGGTGGAAGCAGGTTTGAGGGGCCTCGGGACTAAGTCCACACCCACAGCTCAATATAAGAATGATGGGAGGAGAATAGTCAAGACGAAACCGTGATAGCGATGCACCATCGACATCAACTCATTTTGTTTTTCTTCGAAAGAAATCAGTCGAGCCTCCCCTGCAAACAATGCCTTCCGCAACCTCAAACGGCCCAGCAGCAACATTTGAGGCCCTAGACCTCGATCCCCGCGCCATTCTTGCCTTTTTTGCCCGACTAAAGGATCTCACTCCGTCAGATGGATTCAACATGGTTCAGGCGGTGGCTGTTGATAGCAGTCAGCTACTGAATAAACTGACATATTATCAAAAGCACGTTTTAGATCTTGAGAAAGTTAATAACGACAAGGAGATAACCATCCATGGCATGTTCGAGACGTTTTCGAAAGAGAAACAGTCCCACGATAACACACAGAGACGGGTGAAAGAGCTTGAAACGACGATTGAACAGCTCAAGGCGGAGGCGTCAAGACTGAAAGATAGTCTGTCCACCGCTAAGGCGCAGGCTAGAACCCTCGAGGAGGACAATTCGAAGCTTCAGCGATCGTTGAACGACACTCGCACAAGGTTGAGCACAATCGAAAGCTTTTCTGCAGGACATATTGAAGGCGATGAAAGTTCTCTGTGAGCGATCCCTGCATCGGTAGTCTCAGCCAGAGTATACTGATCAATCTCACAGGATCGATGGATTCACTGCTCTCTGGGAATTCGCCAAGACAGAGCTGCACCCGCTGCTCAATGTTGATCTCTCCACACAAGCTATCTCGGTATGTTCCAGAATTCGAATGTCGAGGTAAAGGTTGCTGAAAAAGTACTTCAAGAATGATTCACTGTGGGAAAATCTGAGACGCTGCGAGCTGGTTCAGTTTCATCAGATCCCCATCCCCTGTTCCAATACCCAGCCAGCTAAACACATCCGTTTGGTATCTATTCTTGCTCTTCTCGCGCGGGAGATCGACAAATATATATTCCAGCCATGCTATATCATCCCGGAGGAGACGCGCATTCGAGAGGTTCTTTTGGACCTTGCCGTGACAGACAGCGCGAGAGAATCTTTTTGCCGGTCTGTGCTGCAGTCCATCAACACACCAGACCAGGAAAAGAATCTTTCGAAGATGATTCAGACCGTTGTCAAAAGCGTACTCTCATACCTGGAGGGGTCAGTTCCAGAATCTCATCTTGCATCCGTGCGTGCGGCCTTGGAGAGGATTGTGAGCAGGGCAGCTGCCGTTTGGGACCCGATACGTCGCGCGAAGCGCAGATACGAGCTGGACTTCGACCAACCGGGAGCTGAGGAGTGGTGGCTTCCATTCACTGTAAACGAGGCCAAGCAGGCCAAGCCAGAAAGTGGACGGCCGCCCCACGAGGAACCTGCTCTCACCATCTTTCCGCGCCTTTCAGTCATCGAAAAGGGGACCATCACGACACATACGGTTGTCATCCAGCTGAGCAAATCATCGTCTATCTTGCGCGAGGCTTTGGGTGAAATATCGAAGACACAACAAATGTCTGGCTTGATCCGACTCAAGGGCAAAAGCTTACTGAGCAGATCCTCCAGCTCCAGTGGTCCAACCCAGCCAAATGGGCAGGCTATCGGTGCCAAAAAGGCAGGCGGAAAATGAATCACCCCGCAATCTAAGAAACGGCCGCTGTTCTGTGCAAATTATGGGATCAGAAGTTGAGAAGGAACGTTATGTTGAGGTCCCTCCTGTCTTGTAGAAACAGGCATATCGCCTTTCTTCTAGAATAGGAGCAGTGGACAATCAAAGTGGATCCCCTAATACAGCATTTTACGTCTTACTGAATGCGTGTCCCGGTTTCTCTAGGTTGCAGTGCCATCCACCGGCAGTGCTGGGTTTCGCGCAGAGCGATCTCACTATGAGAGACTGCATTCCTCGCATCTTCCAAAGCTTGTACTAGAAAGCCTATGAATAACCTTGCCACAAGGGCGCTGCCCAAAGAGCTTTGTTCGTAGCACGAACCTGGCTGTATAGAGAATTTAATTCATCGGATTTATTTTTTATCTGCTTTATTATCCCACAGACGTCTACCCCTTTTAAAGGTGGTTCTAATGTTCTGTTGTTCTTCAGTCAGCCTTTACTGGTAATAGTACCCTTTTTAATATCTACTTATTACAGCTATATCGGACCCGTTCAACTACAAGGCCCTATTCGTGAAACCTAAAAAAAGCAGGCAAAAGAAGATACTATAGGAGTAGACAGAAAATAAATTTGTTAGACTAGTTTTAAAACAATTTAAACCTTTTTTTCAAGTTTTTAAAAGCTGGAGATTCTGTTTAGTCTACTACTGGTAAGATTCCGGCCCCTACCAGTAAGTACTGCCCTCTACAACTGGAATAATAAACAGATTATACCTTTAAATCATAGCAGATTAAGGACTTAATTCATCATTATCTTTATCTTTCAGATAGAAAAGTACTATAATTATCTAGTTTCTATGTTATATTTTAACTAGAAAATATTGTAGATGAGCTTCATGGCTGGTTGGTTGTTGGCAAAAGGCTGGGTCTTGTAGATGATGATAATTTAGATGAAGTGCTGTTGAGATGAATGGTTCTGGTTGATGAGGATGCTGGGATTAAGGCTGCGATGAGGGCATATTTATACCTCGGATAGAGAGAGGTCGTGGCGGACTACGGAGTAATAGTTCGGTTATCAGGGAGCAGTCTCTGATGTCATGATAGAACTACAGCGCATTAACAGTGTGATAAACTGGAAAGGAGCTGCCATCACAATACACTGTTTAGAGGCAACATGCACAATCATGCCTAGATTCTCGTCGCGTGGGGTTTCTGTTGACGATCTCGGCGGATATTACCGACAAAGTCGATGGCCGATGCGCCTTTCTGACGTTCGCAGAAAAAAAGGCCGATGGGTGAATGGAAGTCGAGGCTATGCCCTCGGGGTTTGTGGCGAGTCTTGCTACAGGATCACCTCATTGCGAAGACCGCAACCCAACAGTGCCTTCTGCGAAGAACGAAGTGAGCCTTCTGTGATGCAACATGGAAGGTCATGCGCATCTCCGCGGTAGGGAAGACGGACTCTCCGTTCTTCTTTCCCATGGACGTCTTTAGTGTCGACCAATGCTGGGTGTGACCAACTCCCGCAATGGCTGGAAACTGTGGGGTAACAATAGCCATTCATTTGGCTCAGCTTTGCATGTGGTGATGCAGGGTAGACTGCCGCTAGTGATCTTGATATAGGACTACGTATGTGATAGCGGGTGGGGCCGCAATCTCGATGTGACGACTCCACCTCAAGCTGCAGCTAGGCCCTTACCGGATTACCCGAACATATCCACCATGTGACAGTGGGCTAGGAGTGTTCGTGGTGTTGTAACAATGAGATTCACTTCTCTAAGTTGGAAAGGACAACAGAGAATTATCAGTGCTTACCACAGTATGCACAATTTCTAGAACAGCGACGGCTAAGGAAGTATGCCTCTATGGTAGCATTATCCTGCTGGTTGCTGATACACGTAAGTCATACTGAGACAGGAACGTGGAGGTGCTTGCACTTGCATCCCTCCAAGCTTGTAGTACTCACAACTTTTATCTGGTCATAGGTTTTCCCGGTGATCCTGTCGTCATAGGTTACACAATACATGCAGATTATCGCAGCCTCATAATCCAACTGTTGTTCATAGCACAATATCTGACCACGGGGTTGTCATATGAGTGGGGACAAGTCACATCGGGAATCCGGTTCACTCAGTCACTTTCTTTCCAGTCCTACAAAGGGTCTTGCCCAACTCCGCTTCCGCAGGTTTGTGTCAAACTACCTGTAACAAGCCTCGGGACGAGCGCTCTTCTGAGAAAGAAACGTTTTATCATGAAAGAACAACGTACGGGACATCAGTCTGAATCGAACCTAGTCGAAGCGAGTTGTTGTAATAGCTACTGTGCTAAGCTACCATAATATACACTGCGCACAGAGCAGACACAGACTGAACTGCCGATCTCGCGATACCATCGAACCTTGGCCGCGCATTGCAACCTGCCTTTGCGTGTCATCCGTGCCTGCGGCATGCTCAGATTTCCGAAACCATGTTTTGAGCTAGGCCTGACTTTGTTGAAGATCGCAAGTCCACTCCGATGGCCAGGGTTGATTGCCACCACCAGACGTGGCACACTTGGTACAGTGGTGGGCGCCTGCGCCCTGCGATTGGCCGGGCTCATTGAGAACAGGTTGATGTGAGCGGAGTTGAGTGAACGTGGGGTTACCATGCCCACCAGACCAGGAACATTGTCAGCACTTGCTGCTGAGACCTCTCCTGAATACCTGACATATCAGCAATGACCTGATGCCGCAACAAACCGACAATGTCCCCAACGAACGCCGGGATTAAACGTAGGCACATTTTATCCTATCCACCTCACTCGTCGTCGCTGTCGTAGGCTACCAGCGACTGTAATGAGGCGACCTGCTGAGGCTTGGCCGAGACCGACGCACGAGCAGCCCCTAATGCGGCCAGAGTACTGCTGGAAAAAATGCCGCCCTGCGCGACTTGCGCTTGCGGAATTTCCTCCGGTGGGTGCTGGTCCTGCGGCTCCGGAAGTGCGAGCTGTTCGTGCTGAGCATCTCCAGTTCCTCGTAAACCCACAGCAAAGCGCACCTGATCCGGCTCATCATAGCCCTCGAGGTCGTAGCTGGTTTTTTGTCTCTTCGCATGAGCATCCTTGCCTTCGATCTGAGCGATGAATTCCGCCGGCAGGGCGCGACGGATAGCCTCCGCGGCTTGCTCTTCGATGCGGCGAGCTTCTCGCTTCTGGGCTAGAGGGTTCGGATCCTGCGTGGCCCAGCGGACGTTCAGAATTTCGTTGTGGTCGAGACTCTGGTGGGCCATGGCCTCCTTCGCAAATTGTGCCATCGCTTCGGTTTTGTAGGTTACCTGGGACTGTTAGCGTGATGCAATAGATGGGGCGGTGAAGCACGTACAAATGCAACACCACGGCTGGTCAAGACTCTGATCCGATCGATTTCGCCCCATTCGGCGAAGTGACGCGAAACAACCTCCCTGTTGTACCTCTAGTCAGCCTCCGCCTAGAATTTCATCCCAGCCCATTGTAGCATAGCAGGAATTATCTCGCCGTCTTCCGATGGTCGTGCGGTGTGTCAAGGGAATTGGGGGTTGCTTACTCGATATCATCACTGAAAGCAAGTTAGTTAGTCATTCTGCGCGCGGAGGCAACCGGGGGAATGAGATGAGGACCGTACCTGACATGGATTTTACCAACGTAGATCGTGCGATTCTGTCGCAGAAAGCTACCGACACCGCCCATATCATCCCGATAATCGTTGAACTTCTCGCGACCGAACACGTCCATCTGAGGGGGGGTGATGTCATGAATCGTCGGTCGGCGGTGAAGGTATTCGCAGTCCTGACCGCGGTGGCAAAGTCCTCGAGCCTAGGAATAACAAACCCGACACGATTAGTACCTGTCTCTTCGCCGACGCAACCAGAAAGTATCCAAACGTACAAAGTGAAGACAAATGTGGGCGCCGGGCTGCGCGTCGGCCTTGGTGTAGCCTGAGTCGCGAGCAAGATTACATCTTGTTTTAGCGGCCTGTTGCGAAGAGTCCTCCCGATCGCCGCCCGCCCATTTGTTGTAGTAGATGTTGTAGGTTGTGCCGGACTGGGGCTGGAACTGGGCCTGGATCTCCTTGGCCTTGTCGGCTTCGACCTGGACGCGCGCGGGGCGTCGCTTCTTGCGGATGATGCGCTTCTTGACGACCGCGTCGGGCTGGGGGGTGGGCTCCGATAGCGTCGTCTCTTCCACGCTGGGGGGCGTGGTTTCCGCCGTAGTGTCTGCCATGATGGAGGATTTTTGAGGATGGAGGATGGAGGTTGAGTGTCGCGGCAACGGGCGACCGGATTGAACAAGCAACGATAAGAGATTCCCACCCGCGAGTGATGGGAGTCACGTGATAAGTAAGCACTCGGACAAACGCGGCCCGCGTTCGACGCCTTACGAATCGGGCCTCAGGTATCGGCGTGATGATTTGCGGAAGATCGCCGATGCGCTTGGACTTATTCTTCCCATCCAGCAAGACCGGGGCTTCGATTGGAAAACTTGCGCGATCGGCAACAAATGTGCAGGCTACATCATAATCTCCCGCTACTTTATCAAATCATCTTTCATACATGCTTCGAACCTAGCCCCCTCGACTGAGTCTGAGGGAGATCTCCGCGATGCAACAGACCTACTACGCACATAGTCTATATGTTACCCTTCCTAATCTATGGTCTATTTGAAAGGCTCCACGATCTTTTTGTCCCAAGAGTAAAACAAGTCAAGCATCTGAAGCTTTCCAAAATTCATAGGCGCGGAATGGAAACCTCCGACTGAGTAGCAACCATCTACTGACAGAGAAGGAGAACATCTCATCACCCACGGTTCTCTTGTTCTTGGGTTCATTAAGCTTGCCCTAAAACAAAGCATCCTTCTGGAAGATTTCAGATCATGGCATTTGCTTCAGCGTCAATTGCCGCTCATTTTGCAGGTATATTAAGCCTTCAGCCTACCATCCCCTCCAAGTAAACCACCCCCCTAACACAAAACCCCGTCCATACATCTACCGCAAGCGTTCAAGTGAAGTCATGTCCCTTGACAATCGTAGCACAGCCATGACTGACGCACCCAAGACCTGGAAGGATCTCCTTCGGAATCACTTCTTCGTCGACCTATGGGTCCCCAAGAAGACCACATTCTGGGGCTCGGAGATTCACTCTGCGCTGCAAGCGGCAGTGAATGGTATGACCAGAGACTATATATGGGGCATCGAGTCCAAAGCACCTTCCCCGGACCATGTCCTTGTGCGGGTCATTCTGCCGGGTTATTACGGGACCCAAACCCCAATTGATATCCTGACCCTGCTGAACGACTGGCTGGATCTTATGGACGACTGGCTGGAGCCTGACGAGCTGCGCTGGACTCCGGAGATCTTGGTGGAGGGTGAGTTTGAGTGTCTCTGGGTTGAGGGTCTTCAGTTCTGGAAGCTGAAGGGGAACCGGAGTGTGCTCTAGTTTTGGAGGCCCCGGCTCCAGCCCCCATCAGCTACGGCTGGGTTTAATTCAAATTTCGATGCTGATATGAATTTGACGAATCTTACTTATTCCTTCGATAAATAGTCACGTAACAAAGCAAGGGATCATTTGTGCCCGAGACATGAACTGTAAGAACGATCGTGAGCTCTGTTTGGCCTGTGAGTTTCCCGTTGGATACTATGAACTACTGTACCCTCCCTCGCCACGAATTTGACGACTCGTATTGGATTTTGAAGATAGTTTAGAACTTAACAAAATTGCTTGAATGGCATTTGAGCTGACTGTATCACTGATTGAATCCACTGGAATCATTTGATAAAATTCTTGAAGCAATCAGCTTCGTCATTTGGAGTTTAATTATCGGTTAAAATGTTTGGTGGGTTGTGAAATTCGTGGCGAGAGAGGGTAGTATAGAGCTTACAGGTAATATTCTGAGCTATAGAGAGATAGGAGATACCATAGAAGTAAATGTTCACGACCGCTTGGCCCCAACGTCCTTCCAGGTCCTGACAGAACGAGAGAACAGCGAGGCCTGACCTGCCATCCGGCGAAGCGCAAGTCATGCGACTACTCCTTGGAAGGACCGATTACGGCATACCTGCGCTTTCTAAGTTGCAAACAAGACAAACCCTAAGAGCTCGACGACCTCTCCTCCTCAACCTCCCCATCAGCGACAGGGACAATTTCAGCATAATGAACCCAGGTAACCCACCGACTTCCCAAATGCCTCACCGTCGACGCCGTCTCCGTATTCATCACGAGTTTCGTCTCCAGCCCCACCACATCGGGATCAGCCGGACTCGCGCACACCGGCAAGCTCGCCGCCCACTCCTGGATGACTGCGCGATCGCTCTCATCCTGGACGCGGAACTCGACCCGTCCGTCGCGCGCGCAGGGGACCGGATCCCTGTCATCTGTGGCCGGTTCGGTGAAGAGCCGAACCGCTCCGTCGTAGCCATCGTAGATCAGCCCGGCGTACCGCGGCACGCGGGGCCTCACGGCCCGCGCTCGCATCCCCCGGAACATCGCCCCGAGCTCCCCCGCGGCTTTCTCCCAGTCCACGGACTTCCAGGCGTCGAGGTCGTGACAGATGTGGACAAAGAAACGGCCCGGGGCGGTCGAGGAGAGGGTGTGCGCGAACTGTCGCACGGCTGCTTCTTGGCGGGAGGAGTAGAAGTCGGGGCGGAACATTTTGGTTTCTAGACGGATGGGCCTGCTAGAGTTAGAGTCTGAAAGCTAACGTGAAGGGGTGGGGAATGTGCATCTGGGGAAGGTATGTAGGGTGAGGATATTGGGTTAGTCGAGATGGGGCTTGAGGTTGAGAGCTGGACACGCTCCTTTTATAGGGATAGGGATCGTCCAAATGCCAAAGGAAAAGGAAGCTGTCGTCTTTGTCGAGCAGCAAGTGCTTCTTTGGCACATAACCACACGACCACACAACCACAAAGGTGTGGTGACAAAGCCGTTGTTTTCCGTATGTATATGCCCTCCTTTCAGTCCAGGCATCGGTGCGCTCATATCGACGGTGAAGGATGAGCGATTGGTTTGGATGACATGCTTTGATGGTACGGTTTGGATTGTTTGTCTGGTGATTGTTCCCGTGGCACGGTGTCATAGGTTTTGCCCATTTATCGACTAACAAGGTATGCTGACTCTCACCGAAGAACGAGGCAGCTCTTTGCTTCTAGCAGCCACCAGAAAGCTAGTCTGGCTTTAGTATCTGAATACGACGCTTGATGTCTCATCAACATCTCTCTGTTGATACCTCTAGGACAAGTTCAGCATTGACCCTCTGCCTAGAAATTCCAACTCTCCTGGCTGAAAATTGTTCGATTTGGACTACGGGAGGGTCATGTACCCGAGGTAGTTTGTTCATGGACTTAAGCATGTAACGGTTTACAATAGTGGTAATTACGCCACTGCTCGGGCAAGTGGGCATTGCCGCGTTCGGTGTGTGTTTGGATGATCTACCGTAACAACTGATCAAATTTCCACAGAAAGCCAGCGGGTTTCTTCAGTTGATAAGACAGACTGTTATGGTCGCTATGAGATGGACCCTGTTGCTAGTTAGACTTGATCTCAGTATTATCTTCAATACTACCCTTTGTTTCCTTACAGGATTCATCAGTATGATACTGACTTGATTATGGTTTCTCCTATAGCCAATCATGGTGATCTTCGGAAACCTTGGGCGCAGAGAAATATGGCTAGCAGATCTGTGTGCGAAAGTGAGATAAGAGTCACCAAACCGAGCAATAATAGCTCAGGCAAAGAGATACAGGTAAAGAAAGACTTTTGCTGAAAACTTAGCCTGTCATTAAACTGTGGCTTTTGTTGACCTCAACATACACACAACGCCCAGACTGAATAATTTCTTTTTCATCTGAGACATGGATACAGGATGCGCCCGAAGGCTGACAATCGCCTCGCACATTTGAACGCCTACAGTTTCAGACCACAACAAATAATGAATGAACTTGAGCTCCACGAATGGACCTTCACAAACTCAAAATAGCCATGCCTCGTCCTGGGTCAGCGTAGCTGGAATAACCTCAGACTTATTATATCTGTATGTGGTAGACTCAAAGGCTATTAGACATATAGGCTCCGACATAGCATACAGTGAAGAGGTCTTCTTGCTACTAACAATCATATTAAGCTTAGTGAAGGAAACAAGGTTATTCCAGAGTGTTCTTCAACGTGCATTTATGGACATCCCAGGAAAGGAGAGTAAGGGGGGGGAGGGGAAGTCGCCCATTCCCATGCCACGATGGCCTGAGTATTTAGAGTTTGACAGATGTACTAGGGGCTGAGACTCTAGATTCACTCTTCGCCAACCAATTATGAGTTCTCAGAGGTTAATTCGGTCCTGCCACCGAAAGTAAATCGTGATATACGTGCCAGGATTGGCCAGTCGACATGATAATTAGACTCAGGCTACCGGTGATCGACACTTTAAGTCAGTCCAGCTGCAGAGATGCCAAACTGCGGACCTCGCGCAACAGCTATTGATCTATCGTCAAGAGTTTACTGTGCTGGAAAAGCTCTTCCGGGTGTCTACTATGTTAGCACTCTCGTTTGAGACGACACGAGCAGCTTGCTCTACATAACTTTTATCATAGATGCGCTTTCCCGATGATGCTGGGCATGATTGAATCATTTAGCAGCCTTATTCAGGGCTTTGGTAATGTTTGGCGGAGCCCTGGCTATTAGATGTCCAGGCGAGATTTCTCTTTCCCATCCCCAGGCTAGGTTCATCAATCCTTATCCAAGTTTTGCATCCCGTACCTCCCGTGAAGTCTCGCGTCCACAACAGACACAATGCTTTTTCTTATTCTAAGTCTCTTTTGCACCTACACTCATGCACTTACCAAGTTCGATACAAACTGCACCCTTCCCGTGGAGACAGTGAATTATGTTTCCGCCCCGAATACGCGCGGTATCCTCACTATTCTCTGGGCCAGTATGTTCATGATTCTCTCCTGCACCTGGACGGTCCAGCACCCGGACGTTCCCCGACCGCGGGAAGACTTCGAGCCTGGGCGCAGGGCAGTGTCGAATACTGGGGACACAAGTACGGCAGTCAAATGTCATGGTTCATGATTACGATTCTGGCGCCCGAGGTGCTTCTCGCAAAATATGGGTATGATCTTTCGCAAGGGAAGTGTGACCTCGACATCCTGCAAGATTTCGCCCGAGATGACGGAATAGAGTGGACAACTGCTCATTCTCTCTTTGCTAACATGGGAGGCTTTGTGATGAGGCTGGATTCGGCATCACCTGGACGAAGACCATTCGAAACGCGTCTCGGACGGCCACACGAAATTCAGGCAATACTACGTGTATTGAACACCAATGAGGATGGCCTTCCTTGTCCCTCCTCAGCTTCTCGAGGAAGAGCCAGCATGCAGACCTTAACATCATCATCATCGAACATTGATTCCAGCAATACGCCTGTGCCCCCTCCGGTCCGGAATGCTACCGCACAACCGGGTTACCGTTACTCCCTCAAGTCCCGGGACATCTTGCTGCTTCGGGAAGCGAGGCTCCTCTCTCGACTGCCGAAGATTACCAAAGAGGAGCTAGAAGACCGATCGAAAGAAGACTGGATATTACGATCGATCACGGTCTTGCAGATTGTGTGGATGGGCTTCCAGACGTCGGTGCGGCTTCAAGCGAGCCTGGAAGTGACCGATTTGGAAGTCTCTGCATTTGCTTTTGCCTTGTGTGCCATCTGGATGTGCGTGCTCACGTGCGACATGCCAAAAAAGGTCCAGTTTCCCATTACAATCATGGAGTTTACAGGCGGAGATGAGCAAGTCTTCGAAGCTTATGGTCTTGGAAGGTCAGCGTCAACGATGCATCAGAGCCAACAAAGTCGATTATTTGTGAAATATATGGACTTTTTATTATCGCCTGAACAGGGAAGGCAGAAATTACATGCTTTATTCATGGTGCTTCTCGGCGGTCTTTCATTCGGCTCGATTCATCTTCTCGCATGGAATCTTCCCTTCCCTTCTGCATTCGAGCAGATTCTCTGGAGATCTATAATTCAATTGAGTTCGAGCTATGTTAAACTTCGTGCGTCTGTCTATGTGTAGCCAGCTATGGAGGTGGTTCGTGTCAGGCTCTTCTCCCGGAATGACGGAATTCCTAGAAGAATGGAGAGACAAAGAAGAGTTAGCTTCATACATCAAGACTCACTTGGCTTGCTACTTAGAATGTCTGTACTGTACCCTCGGTGGGAAGCGTGCAAATCTGGGCCATAAGAGACGGGGCTTAACACCCATGGCCCATCCCAATAGCCGCCTTATAACACGGGGGCGCCTCTTCCTGCTCCGCCGTCTTACTCGCAGTCGAAGCCTCGGCCTTTGCCTGAGACTGATTCTGAGACCGGGCTCTAGACTGGGCCTGACCCCGGGTCCCTCTAGAAGAACTACGGGACCACCTCACACACCCCGGTTCACACTTAGTCTCAACCGCCAGAAAATTCAGACCAACAGCGAGCCTCGCAAAAACCCGCGTACGATGTCCCGAATCCTGTCGCGGAATGTAAGCTTGACGTTTGACATACGCTTTGGCTTCTCTGCGAGCAGATTTGAAGAATCTATAGCATTGCCGCGCTATCACGTTGTCCCACCTTCTGATACGCAAGCAGTAAGCACAACAAGTGCTCGAGGAGTTCTCAGAGATGCCCCATTTTTTTACGCTGTATCTTCTTTGTAGGAAAGCGAGCGCGTTGTATTCGACGGCGAATTGTTCGGCGGAATCGATGTCTGCGTGGAGTCATGTTGGTCGTGTTTAGGGTGGGTAAAAACAGAGAGACAGGAAGGGGGGAGGAGACTCACGCCAGGCACCGGAGCAATATTTTTTGATGTAATCGGGGACGTCGACGGTTTCGTCGAGGGGTCGGAGTTTCTGAGACATGTTGGTTGATTCTGTTGAACGTTGGCGCATAAGATGAGCCTTGACGGTAAGAACTTTGAGATTGAACGTATCGAATCGTTTTTCGGAAGGTCAGTAGAACAGTATAAGCGTAATGGAAAATGTAAGAGGGCATTCTAGGTCCTATTTAAACCTTCGCGCAGAGAGAGACGGAATTGGAGACGCGTCTCTTTCTCTTTACGCATTGTTGTCGGTCATTAATAGATGTATATGTGTTTTTGTCACTGCAGGGAAGAACACAAAAGCCGGCGGTCTATGGTTTTGCTGACAATACCAAGTCTTGGTATTGGAATCAAGTGCTGCTGAAAGAAGGGAAAGATAACAGAGTAGAGCGGACAATCACAAGAAACAATGGCTTTGTTCTCAATATCTTTGTCTTCCTCCCTTTGATGTTCGGGAACTTACCATCACAAAGAAGAATGTCACATGGGCCTTGATCAGCCCGCACACTCCACAAGAAGCCTCAAGAGCAGCGCATATACTCCATGTGTCGACAGGGATTCCTCGAAACATCAAAATTGTCTGAACGTAGCTGGTTGTGTAGAAAAAGTACCCCAACCGTCAAACAATAGGCCCAGTGACTGAAAATCGCATGGGGTGCACCTCTCATCTCGAACCGGAATCTAATTCCTGCCTTGGATAGTATTCAAAGAAAATCGAGAATTCTGGAATTGACGTAGGAAAGGAACTTGATTCCTTTCAAGGCAGCAGAGCAGGCAGTCTAAATAAAAACCCAGTTTCCTTGCTTACGGTATATACATCCAGTAAATACAAGCAGCATACATGCCAGTTTTTCACTGCGAGTAGAACAAGTCCAAATAGTAAGCGTTATTCGAACCAATTATAGAAACACTGTCCGATTCGGTTCGAACACGCGACCAGCAGCACGGTGCATCCCGCAAAGCAGGGTTGACATGAGGTTCATCTCATCGAACATAGCGAAAACTCGTATTCTGTCTGTCTGTATGGCTGGTTGGTGCCTGAGTCGTACTAGACGGACGGTGATGCGGGTTATCAACTTGGCCGTACAAAGCATCTCGTCGTCTGTTCTCCCAGACATAGTACGCGGATAAAAGCCCAAGAAAGAGAACACCTAAAGCCAGACCACAAAGAGATGCGCGAATGCCGGTCTGTTTTCGAAGGGAATTAGCCAATAAGGAACATGTTATCAAGAACTGAACGTATCTCGCTCGCCATAACATACCGCGTAGACCGGCTCTTCAGACGCCAGGAAGAACTGCGGACCGACGATATTGCCTACACAATAAGCAGCGAACACGGCGCTGCTGACGGTACTTCGCTTCGTGCGTCCGACCACGTTGGAGCTGATGATGCTCAGCGCAAGAGGGATATTGACGGCGAAAGCTCCGACGAAGGACAGTCCGACCAGCTTGACGACCTTCTGGCTGTCATTTAAGGTATAGATGAGCGCCACACCAACAATGGCCACCACAACGTTCAGAACCATGGATAGAATCCGAGAGGACGGAATGAACGTGGCAAGGGCGGCGGTGATGATGAGGAACACAAGCTGCGCGGCACCCACGGGCATCTGGAGTAGGAGAGACTTGAAGCTGGAATAGCCGAAGCCCGCTACAATGATGGCGGAAAACTGTATCTGACAGTTAGCTCTTGCACCAGCTGGAATTAATGAGATGCCCTTACGCTGGTAAGACCCCCGTTGGCAAGATTGACACAGAATGTGTACAGGACCAAACACCACGCCTGGGGGTCCTGCACCGATTCCCAAACCTGGCTCCAATGGAACTTTGCGCCCCCTGGAGCTTCCTCCACACCCACTGTTTCATTGCTCAGCATTCGTTGCGTGGCAGTCCTGCGTTCATTTGAGCTGAGGAAGAACGCCGTGGAGGGGGAGTCGGGCAGAATCAGAAGAAGAAAGACGGCATAGCCCGAAGTAATGCCACCCAGGACCAGGAACAGCAGACGCCAGCTCTGAATGCTGGACGCGGCATTGCCGATTCCCCAGGCAGTCACACCTCCGATCAGATTCGCAACACAATTACCGACGAACCAGGCCGCCTGGCGCGAGGGCTGTTCGTCCCGTTTATAAAACATCCCGACCATCAGGCCAAATCCGGGAGCCACCGCCGCCTCGCCCACCCCCAGGAAGAATCGAGCTGTGATCAAGCCTTGGAAGTTCTGGCAGGCTGCGTGGCACATCAAAATACCACCCCAGAGAAATCTGTGGCAGTAAGATTAACAATGTTCCAAACGGGACTTGCCGGCATGCATGGAGACCTACACGGAGATTGCCAGATACTTGCCCAGAGGCAGACGGACAATCAGGTAAGACGTCGGCCAGCTCCAGGCTAGATATCCGAAGTAGAAGATGGCCGAGCACCATGTATACTGCGAGCCATGAAGACCCTGCAACGGCCATAGCGGTTAACCACGTCGTTTTGTGGCAGGGGGAAGTTCAAGGATACATACTAAATCTTGTCGTAGGTTCAAAAGTGTCGCTTGACTCAGTGCCAGTTTGTCCATGTACTGAAGCATGTAGCATATACCCATGGTCGGAATCAAGCTAGCGATCTGGTGAGCGAAAGGCTTCGAGTCGGCTGCGTCTTTGAGCACCTACAACAAATCCAATTTCCATAGAAGCCGGCGCTCCGCTTCAGGCGATGGCGCAGAAAATTCGGCAAGCTCGCCGACACTAGTTTCTTGCGCCGTCTCCGTAATAGAGCATGGTAGCTTCTCATTGAAAGGGGACTCTGGAGACTTCTCCATAGCACAGCAAGTGAAAAGCACGTTTTCCAAGCTATGTGGCTATCAGAAGTATGGTTTCTTGAGGGGATTCCTACATGTTTGCACAAAGGTGCATATAAATACAAGCTTATCATTCCCCATCCTCGGTATTGGCTGCTCTATCAACGAGTATGCAAACCGCCAACGAGACGGCGTTAGTCGATAGGCAAACATGATAGTTCAGGCCCCTTTTCCAAGTCTTATCAGGGGGGCGACATGAATTTCCCGCGGAAAGGCCTCATCGATTATCGATCTAATCAAAGACCAGGCATAAGGAAGTATAATAGAAGGTCGGCAAACCCGTACACGGTGATTAGCGAAGATGAAGCCAAGCCACTCATGCTCGGCAAAATGTTCTGGGACTGATTGGTGCCCGCGTGTCGGTTGTTATCTGGTGGCTGTGCCTGGTCCTATCCTCTCGTTTGCACAGATAAGCCCTGCATTCTGGCAGCATCTCTTATGCTGCAACTTGTGCTCATGCACCGCACTATGCATCATCGCCTGACTTCTCAGAGCCGAACTACTCATACTGAATCTCGAAAGTGCCGTTCTTCCCGGCTGCTGATGTGTCTAGACCGTCTGCGAGGAATCGCAGAAGGAGATGAAACAACAAGCCTTGCCAGGGGTTCACAGTCAAATACCCATTCATCGCACACTTTCCTCAAGCTCTAACGCCAGGCCTTCATACTTCTTTTTTTCCAATCAAGCAACTCGCCCAATATGACTGCGGCCCCGCTAACTGCAGTTCCGCCCGAAGAAGTGCGCACAGCAGTCGACAGTGCTCTCGAGAGAGTTGCATCGCAACTGCGTCAGCTCAATCACCTGGTCAGCTCAATCTGCGGAGTTCAACAGTCCTCATTCAGGCGCTGGCAATCACTAACCAAAGTCGCTTTCAGATATGGTCAAACCCCGAGCTTGCCTACGAAGAACACCAAGCTCACGACGCGATCTGCAATTTTCTCGAAAAGCAAGGGTTCACAGTGACGCGGCATGCGTACGGGGTAGATACCTCCTTCGAATGTATCAGCGGCACCGAGGGTCGCCTGGTCAACTTCAACGCGGAATACGATGCGCTCCCTGGGATCGGGCACGCGTGTGGACACAACCTCATCGCGACGAGCAGCATCGCGGCCTTTCTGGCGTTAAGCCATTTGCAGAAACAATATGGAATCGGCGGCCGCATCCAGCTCCTCGGCACGCCTGCTGAGGAGAACGGGGGAGGGAAGGCGAGGTTGATCGATGCAGGCGCCTACAAAGAAGTTGATGTCTCATTAATGGCGTAAGGACTTCTATTCCCGTCATTGACACACTTTTTATTTGGTGGGTTCACGATTATGGCTGACTCCCCCCTGGACATCCTGGCCCGAAGGATCTGGTTGGAACGCCGAGCGACGGCGTGGCGGGTGTACTCATGAATGCGCGCAAGGAGCTCTTCGTTGAATACTTCGGAAAAAATGCCCATGCTGGAGGCAATCCATGGGAGGGCGTCAACGCATTGGATGCCTTGATCACGGCCTACAACGGGATCTCGACTCTGAGGCAGCAGATCCTCCCCGATGAGCGGATTCATGGTGCCTTCTTGGATGTCCCCAAGGTCGCAAATGTGATTCCCGCGTACACCAAGTCCTACTGGCAGATTCGCAGCCCCACTCTGGACCAGCTCAATAAGCTGATTGCGCGAGTCCGCCTGTGTATTGAAGGGGCTGCTGTCGTCACCGGTTGTACTGTGAAGATTGTGGAGTACGTTGGATTGACCCAAATCTTTTCTATGTGTTGCTAACAGATATATGGCAACAGGGAAGGCCTGTATACCGATATCGTACTCAATGATGTCTTATGCCAGCGATACACGAAGCATATGGCAGCGTCTGGGAGATCGATCATTGAACAGTACGAGAAGGTCCTGACCGGGTCGTCTGATGTTGGTAGGTTTTCAAATCGATAGTATGCAGGAAGAGACTGACAAGGCACAGGAAACGTGAGCTATGTTGCTCCTACACTGCATTCGATGTTTGCTATCCCAGCTCCTGACGGGTCCTTTCCCCACCATCCCTCTTTCACCGCGTGCGCTGGTACGGATGAAGCACACGAAGAAGCCATAGCGGTTGGCAAAGGGTTGGCTCTCCTGGGCTGGGATATGTTGACCGATGAGAAGCTTTTCACTCGGGCCAAAAGGCAGTGGGAGTCCAAGCTACTCACTAGCTTCAATAAATGATAATGAGAGCTAACCCGCAGCAGTGTTTAGACGGACAATTGCAGCTTGCTTCAAATATGAAGTATTCTTTCGAAAATGATAGCATTGCAGGGTAAATATGGCTAGCATGATTTGAGATATCTGCTGCATGCTGCTGGCTTGCCTGGGAACTGGGAGGCTGGTGGGCCTATATAGTTAGTATTGATTGCGGGGTCAACAACCCGCATTAAAGGGTGACAGGTTTTGTGGAAAGGTTGGTTCAATTGTTCCTATAATCTGTCTCGGTCCGGGCCTCCACGGCAGCCAGTCGCAACTGAACACGGTTTTGTATCTTTTGGTAAGACTTGTCGTTAGCACACAGACACTTCTTGGAATTGTCAACATTCGCACATCAAGACGGCTTTGCACTTTTCACATTAAATACCTAAATCCCGTCTACATCCTGGTGGTTTGAACAGATGAGCCAAGTCCATTCAACTCAATCGCTCTCTCACGAATGGCGTCCTTGAATTCGTAGTCGTGCAGCTCTGGACGCTCGAGCAGAGGGTCTAGCAGCACCCCCGGAGCCCGGGTAAACAACGCCTTCCACACTTCCCTATATGGAACATGGATGCGTCTCATCTTGCCGTCGTTGAAATAGTAATCCGCCGGCGCGTCGTGCAGAGGGACCCCCTTTTGCACGAGAAGCGCGGCGATCCGAAACCGGGCGAGCTTGACAGCTATATCAAACAGTGTGACCTTCTGCTGGACGAGGTCCTCGCGCGAGAGCTGCAACAGCTCGGGTCGATGATCAAAGATCTCCTCCAGGAAGTTCCGGTACTCGCCGTGAATGGCGCTGACGAGGATCACCCACCACTGGGGCTCGTAGCGGCCTGTGCCTCGTACATTCTCGATCACGTCGAGCAAGAGGCACGCCCCGCCCTTGAGGTTTAAAACATACATCCCAAACATGTGCAGAGAACTGGGAACACCCCCGGCGTCCACGAGTAGGCGGTAGATCGCCGCGTGCGCGCACCGCGGCGGTGTTATGTCCAGGGCCCGCATTTGCTCCTTATCTTCGACGTTGGGGTCTGCCCCGTGCTGCAGGAGCAGGCGAACGGCCTCTACGCGCCCGAGCCCCACGGCGATGTGCAGCATTGGCTCGTCCCAGAAGTTCTGGCCATTGGCAACCTCCACGCCGCCGCCACGCAGCAGCCGATCGACGGTATCGTATTGGCTCCGCCGGATGGCGTCGTAGAGGGGCTGGCGCGGCAGAAAGGCCGCGTATTCAGGCCGCAAGCCCTCCCAGATCACGTCGCTGTACAAGCGGGCGAGGGTGGAGCGGGTGCTGGCGGAGATCTCGTCGCTCCGGCCCTGCGATTGCCGGGCGGCGTTGACCGACTCATGCCTCCAATAGCTCGGGTTGAGCGTGGGCACGGCATACTCGATGGCTCTTTTCCGTAGCTGGTCCCTGAATTCACCCTTGAAGCTTGTGCAGGTGCGGGAAAGCCGGAGCAGCGTTTGATTGTCCATCCACTTGGCGACTTCGAGGAGCAACTCGGCGGGCATTCGATGGCTGGCTGGGGTTTCAGACATAGTGGTGGTGTTTGATTTATGCAAGCTGGATGGGTTCATGCGCTATCCTTGATTGAAGACGCAGGGGCCATTCACTCGTTTATAGGATTGGTAACTTTATGTGTTTGTTCTTTCATAGAGATTGACCCTTCATGGGACCCGGGATTCTCCTCAACATTGTAGAAGGTCAAGTGTTTAAAGCATGGAAGTGAATACTCCATTACCAAAAAGCCGAAAATGAAATGGCCTGCAAGTGAATACAGTGACTATCACAGACCACTATAAGCTGAGAGTGCTGTAAAGCCAGGTGACGTAGATGTTCTCTACATGCACCCAAAGCAATCTTTTTGATTGTGTTCTTTGACTAATGACAATCCTTTGTTCTCCAGTTCGTTCTAAACAACTCAAATATAAGCTTTCACTTTGAGGGCTGAGTCAGTCCAGTATCTGGCTCATATCCTCAAGGGTTGTTGTTTAGATGGGAATATGGTAAAGCGATCAAGAGCCGCATCTGAATTGCCTTCTGAGCATGTATCTGTCTCCGCACAATCGCTCTTCTCCTCTTCAATATACCTACATCCTTATAATGGACCCACTAATGCTCAAAAATGATATCATTTAAAACCATATCTGTAGATCAATAAGCATAAGTTTATAGACATTGTTATAGGGACATCCGCACAAACGTTATGTTTAGAAAGCATAACGTTTTTGTTTCAAGTTTACAAATAGTTGATGCCATGCTATGCAGTCCGTCCTTATTGATGGGTCGCTGTGAGGAGTGCTGAGCATGAATCGCTCGCCGTGGTCGAAAGCCATGTGCTGGCTGTCAATCGCCATGATATCAAGCTTCATTTTTGGTTATACCATCCAAAGCTACCTGCTTTCTTCCGGTGACGGCAGTATGAAATTTTGAGTTCTCATCCAGATTCTCCAATCACCCACTTACACGGCGATCTCCGTCCCCACTGTTTCTGATACTTTGTTTGCTCAGCTGCATCGGGACTCACGTCGCGGATACTGGACGGCTACCTGCAGATGCCCAGAATGTGAAGTCCAAAGGTATTGAGTCTTTGGATGAACATCCCATGTGGCTGTTTCTGCGATAGGGAGACCCAGTATGTAGTGTAATGCTGCACTGCGCATTCCGCTTCTGGTTCTTCTTGACAAGTGCAGTGGCTCCGGATATGGGGCACGCAGGGTTCAGCCCAGCCCGCTTCGGATGTTGCCTAACACTTTGAAGCGCCGTCCTCCTGCAGGTGGTGTGGCTGGCTGAGCCGTTTATGGCATTTTTTCCTCCTTGCTTTCTTTCTTCCTTTCTTGTTTTCTTTTGGTGCCCGTTGTGAATTGTGGGCTGCGTCTCGAGATTCTGTCAAAACCATAGAATCGGGATTTACTCGAATGCTCTTGTATGACCCGAGCCAAAATTAAGCTCCTAAACCAGTGGTACACCCATAGTAAAGTGGTGAGGGAGTACCAAGCTACCGGAGATTTATGGAAGGGTTCGCGCTATCGGGGCGTTTAAGCGACAGCTGAGAGTGGGGATGCAGTGACGTGTCGGCGGCTTCAATGCTGGTCCGTCACATACCGGGTGGACCAAATTACGAACGCGTATTTTTCGTTCTGCTGAGGGGTGTTCCAGAACATGTCCGTGGTGGGCAAATAGGAGATAGCCGAACTATCTGATCTATACTGCAGAGCTGGATAGCATGTTTGGGACTTCAGAGTTTGACCCGTTTCAAAATGTCAACTTAGAGTATATATAGAGTCGTGGAGTCAAGGCACGAACAATGGATATTTGTATTCCAGCCCCTAACCTTACAGCATCGTCGTCTGCCAAGCCCCAGACAAGCTAGACATCATGTCTATACCATCCAAACCCCCTACCACCGTCATTATCATCGGGGCCGGAATCTCAGGCCTGGTCACCGCCTGTCAATTGAAACGCACCTTCCACCTGGACAACTACTGTATCTACGATCGACAGCCCGGCGTCGGAGGGACGTGGTGGGTGAACCGATGTTAGTTGCCCCTTCCCCGATGTATCTGAGCATCCCACTAAGAAATGCAGATCCGGGCTGTGCCGTGGACGTGCCAGGGTTCTGCTACACCTTCTCCTTCGCCCCGAACCCCGACTTCCGCGAATGGTTCCCCTCGCAGGCCGAGATCCTGAACTACCTGACCAGCGTTGCAGATCGCTTCGACGTCACGCCACATTTCACCGGCAACACCGACTGGGTCGGTGCCGCCTGGCAGGACACCACCCGCACCTGGGTGGTCACCCTCCGGGACCTCTCGACCGGGCAGCAGTTCACGCAGGAATGTCGGATCCTCATCTCGGCGGTCGGAGCGCTCGTCAATCCGCTCCCATTCACAGCCCCGGGCATTGAGCGGTTCGAGGGAGAGATTCTTCACACCGCCAGATGGCGCAAGGACGTGGACCTGCGCGGCAAGAAAGTGGCGGTTATAGGCAATGGAGGTAGGGCAGGAACGGGAAAAACCCTTCCATCGCGAGAAGTTCGCTGACCACGACCGCAGCATCGGCTATCCAACTAGTGCCTGCCATTAGTGAGCAGGCAAGCCACATTACCCAATTCATGAGGGTGGGTTTGCTCTCTTCTCCACTTTCGACTCTTTCTTGTAGGGGTCGAAGAAACCATCCGCTAAAACTGTGGCGCAGACACCGCACCACATTGTCCCGAGCACGAACTACAGCATCACCGAAGCATGGCGAGCGATCTTCCGCTACCTCCCATTTCTGTTGTATTTGCTCCGGTGGGCGATGTTTGTGTATATGGAAACCGGGTTCTCGCAGTTCCAGCGCAGCGAGGAGGGCCGTGTGCATCGAGCAAGCGCCGAGAAATCGAGTCGGGAGTATGTGCACAAAACTGCACCGGGTATGGATCTCCGCCATCAGAGAAACGATTGAAAGGGTCGGGGGACTAACGGGTTCGTGCAGAAAAATACTGGGATTTGCTGATACCGCAATACGAGTTCGGCTGTAAGGTATGAGCGGGGCGCGCGCTGTGGCTTTGCTGAACTGAACCTGACCGAAGCATTTGTTCATGCAGAGACGGCTGTTCGACCGGAGCTATTCTGCAGCTCTCCATCGGAACAATGTTCGCCTAACGAACGATCCCATCGCTGAGGTCAAGCCACGCTCAATCGTGACACAATCCGGGGAGGAAATTTCAGCCGACCTGATCGTAAGCTTCTCATCAGATCACTGGTCCCTCGTTAGCGTGAACAGGCAACAGGCAGACTGACTCGTGGCTCCAGCTTCTGGCGACCGGATTTGCCCTGACGCACTACGAGACGCATCTTCGGGGCCGGCATGGCCGAACGCGTGAGGAACACTGGCAACAGTATGGATCCAAGGCCGCCTTCAAGTCGATAGCCATGAGTGGATTCCCGAATTTCTTCTACGTGCTGGGCCCGAACTCGGGTGGGGTCCACACGTCGACGACATTCCAGATCGAAAGGTCGGTTGGGCTCACATGCAGCCTATGTTTCTCTGGCTGGCTAGCTGACCAAGTGGATAGTTACGTGGACATGATCATCGCTCTGATCAGACCGGTGCTCCTGAACCAGGCTGCTCTGGTCGAGGTCAAAGTCGAAAGTGAGAGGGAGTATACCGACGAGCTTCATGCGGCGATCGGTCGAACGGTTCATGACAGCTCCTGCTCTAGTGTGCGTAGTGCCCTTATCCCAACTTTCATTGAATGACGGACATGACTGACGGCGATCGCAGTTCTTCATCGACAAGCTGACGGGTAAGAATTGGTTCCTCTACCCTTGGAACTCTCTCCACCTCTGGCGGTCCACACACTGGAAGATTTCTGCGGATTGGATCTACGATCGGTGAAGCTAGTGTTGTTTTCTTTCTTGTCAATTTTTTTTCTCGATTGGTTTTGTTCTTCCGGAGCGATCCGAGCAGGTGTCATTCTGTGGGCTGGGGCTGGCTGGCTGAACGCGCTTCGGCTGGCGAGATTTCAGCCACATTCCTTTTAGCGTCATGTCAGGCGTCCCTTTGCGGTTAGTTCGATCTGTTGGTCCTGTACAAGCAGCATGTTTGCTGGTTACGGCTTTTTGAATTTGCAAGTTGGATAGAGTATGGTATTTTGCTTGTATTAAATCTTTTTCGATAGTGCTAGGGGGAGAAAACAAGCCTCTTGGTTACAGCATTGCCGATACAGCACAGCTGTAGGCATCACTGTCCAGTGTATAAAGCTGTTCCCTGCATCTGATATTCTTTCTTCGGACTTTCGTCCAGCCCTTCATATTCCTCTTTGCAACTTAGTCTCAACTCTTTGCTGTCATTTATTGAAAGGGTGTCGGTCAAGGCACGATGCTGTACAAAGACCTCGTCACTCTAGCCCTATACGCCAGCCTGAGGCACCAAAATGCGGCCGTCCTCCTGACAACCCTAACAGCACTGGGTGCACTGCTTCTACTGACACCATGCCTGATTCTCCTCTTTATGCTTCTGCGCCTCTTCTTGGTATCGCATCAAGTGGCTCCCCTATCCAATGAACCGCAGTCTATCTTTGGAAAACCTCTATTATTTCCCGTGCAGCTCAACCATGTGCGTTTAAACCCTGTCAAGGACCAATTCGCCAACAGATTCCTCATGATCGGCATCCCCGTCGGGATGCGCGCACGCTATGGCAACCTGCTGGCGATCGACGACAAGCGGTTGACGCTCCACGACTCGACACATGATGGTCCATCGTGGAGGTCCTTCCTGGCGCAGGCGACGTGCTGGCTCACGGTCGACGGGGAGCGGTACCTCCACCGCGGGGATCAGGATCTCGATATGCGGGCAAAATTAGATCGATACTTGCTGAAAGAGGTGCGATCCTCCCTCTGTGAGGTATCATGAGAGTCAGTGCTGACGGCAGCAGAACGAGGATCCTTCCCACTGGCCGTACGCGTACCTCCTCACCGTCCCACGGTTTTTCTGGTGGTCGCGCAGTGTCGTGTCGTGGTGGTACCTCTACAACGCCGACCGCGAACTCGACGCCATGATCATGGAGATCAACAACTCCTACGACGAGAAGCGCAATTACTTCTTCCGGGTCGAGCGCGGCGAGACCCCCATCCCTGCTCTGAAGAAGGGGAACGAGACCGACAAACCTCATTTCCTCGATGACGCCTCCACCATTCGTAGCGCACCCTCCCAACCCAAAGCAACCTACTACAAGGGCACCTGGCAGAAATTCATCTTCGCTTCGCCGTTCGAGAAGGTCGACGGCGCCATCGCCAACCGGTTCATGGATCTGGCGCACGGCGCCCCGTGGAAGCCCAACGCCACGCTGCTCAACACCAACACGCTGAGCCCGCAGGGCAAAGTCAAGATGGTCACGCGCATCACCTGCTGTGGCACGCCGCTCGATCCCGCGCAGATGGGCTTCAGTGATCTGGCGCGGATTGTACTGCGGTGGACGTTGCCGGGCGTGCTGACGACCCCGTATATCGTGCTCGAGGCGTTGCGGATTCGCTGGAAGGGCTGGATGAAGATGATGGAGAAGACCCCCGTGCGCAGTGGGAGTATTGGGCGTCATCCGACTCGGGCTGAACGGTAGGCTTGTTCCTGGACTTATCCCTAGGCATGTTTCTCAGCTTGAGAGTTATGCTAACAAAACCCCTTGCTAGTCAACTCGAACCTTTCTTCCGCGCCTACCTCGCCCACTGTGTCTCCTCCTCTCCCGAGCCAATGGAAGTAACCTACATCCCTTGCCGCGCTTTCTCCGACGAGACCATTCACATGAGATCCCCGTACTGTTCAACCGAAAGTACATCCGTGCGGACCGTGACCATCGAAGTCCTCGACCCCCCTTTTTACACGCGTATCGCCAATCATTTCACCGCCTGGGAGGGACTATCGACTGAAATGCGCGCAACAGGCCAAGAAGCCGATGCTGGCTCGCAGAACATCGCGGTCTCGGACCCAACATTGCTGCAGAAGATCGTGAGCTTCTCGCCCACCCTAAAGGATGAGCATCGTCCAGTGTCTGCAGGGTTTCCCATCCTGAAATGGTGTCGCTGGAATTCGACACCTAGCTTTATGGATACCTTTGTGGCGAGCGAGCAGACGCCCTCCACGCAGAAGAAGTACGCCACGCTGGCGGTGCGATACCTCCTTGCGCCGGGGGTGGCGTACTCCCCGCTGATCATGGATGTGCTGGTGGATGCATTGCTTTTTATAGTAGGCGTGATGGGACGAGCAGGCTTGCTGGAGGTGGTGCTACAGCAGAGAAGAATGACTGGATTGCCTATGGACGTTGCAGCGCAGACCCTGATGAGCGCGGTAGTCTACTTTGCGGGGATGAGGGGGGTTGGAGTCGTGCGGGATCGTTTCTTGACGGGGCAGGCATAACCAGTCGTTGCTCACCTGTCGAGCGGAATTGAGTGAAGCGTGCTGTCTCCTTAGCCATTGCATAGATTATTCTATGTACATCTTCTATGTATTCGCAATGTGTATACTTGGCACATATTAGATCTTACTACCCAGTCACATCCTTTACCGTGCTCACGCTCCCACCCTTGACCCCTATGTGAGAATCTGCCCACGGTGATGATCGTAAGGGAGATTGACCCTCACCATGATGATTCGAGAACCCAGCCCATCAGACAATCTCTGCTCACAGTACACACATCCAGGAACATGAAGATATTCGGGTAAAACTTCCATTTTTCTAGAAGCCCCTCCAGCCACAGTGGACCCGCCCATATGGGTCTCGACCGGTCCCGTGGGTCCGTCTACCGGGAGTTCGGTACCTTTAGGGCAAGGCTAGTTGCCGAAGGCTCGGGGTAGTTATGCATCGTGTTGTCATCTTTCGTAGCCATTGAGGTTGAGGCAGTGAGGCCTTGAGGCTAGCTGTGCTGGTAGCTTGGTGGGCATCGCGTGTTGACTATTGAATGCTCGAGGCAAGGTCGCTCAATCCATAGCAAGCGCGGACCTGCGCCCGATCGACCGAATCCAGCCTTTAGGGCGCAGGCATCAACATGCCGAGACGGTTTAATTTTTTGATTGAATGCGGCTGGTTTTGATTTGGCAAGGGTTTGGGGCAGGTTGGTCCATGAGCACCCATGTTTAAGGAAAATCAGCGGCCTATATAGTTAGCATACTCTGAAGATAAGCTTCAGAAGATTTCTTTGTCGTTCTCTTTCAGCAGAAGGTGAAAGCATCACAAGTGGCAGTATATAATGCTTTGTGGATAACATTCCCGAGAAACCATAAATTTGGAGCTAGTGATACTTTATCTGAACACTGCGAGGGTCGTGTCTAGGAGCTTTCTTCTACTCCTTTTATACTGCCTTTTTGCTGATTGTTATGGTCACTTGAGTCTACACTTAATACACGGCGAATAGCAGTGTCCCCCTCAGGAAGCTTCTCCGGCAACCTCATCAGCATCACCATGAACCTTCAAGCAACCACGACACGTCAGCCCTTGTTCACAATAAGTGGCCACCAGTGCAATCATCTTGACCTACCATACTCCCTCTCATTCTTGAGCACAAAAGTCCGATTCATCTACCCAATCACTTACCCGAAGTTCCTCTCGAAACTCTCCATCGAGCTCTTTATCTCCCGCTCCAAAGAACCACCATCTCAGACCTATATAGAGAAACACGTACGAACCATGTACCACCCCGGAGCTTCGCACACTGTAAACCAGTGACCACCATCATTGCGTATACTCAAGAAAAAGCCCGCGGAGCCGTATCTCTGCCTACACCGCCCAAAAGCCAAACAGGTAGGCCCGCCCTAACTCTTACGCCCATACGCACTTCCTGCAGTAACCGGACTACCATGTCGAGCATTCCGAGTGGAACCACTATGACAAATAAGACCGGAATCTACGCGCTGCCCCCCGAGCTAATCCTCAGCTGCGCAGAGTACATGACCCCCAAGACCGCCCTTGCGCTCTCGCTAACCTGCAAAGACCTTAGGGCGGTGCTCACCCAGCTGATCGCCGAGATGCGCGAGTGCTGCCTCGCCGAAGCGGTGCACTACCACGAGCTGACGTACCTGGCCTCCATCCCGGCTGGCCATCCGCGGACGCGCACGTACCGCACGGCGCGGGCACTGCCACCGCAGCCTCTCGTCGAGGCGGTGCGGGCCGGCCACCTGGGGACTGTGAAGAAAGCCCTCACGAAGTTCCACATCAGCCCGGACAGCTACGATCTCCAGGCGCAGCCGCTGGTGCATCTTGCGGTGCTTTACAAGCACCCCGAGATTGTGGAAGTGCTGCTGCAGCACGGCGCCGATCCCAATGTCACGTCCAATCGGCTCGAGACGGCGCTGGACTGCTGGGCCAACAAGGCGACGGCGGAGGATATTGCGGTGCTCCGGTTGCTGTTGGCGGCCGGGGCGAAGAGCGCCATGCCGCGGCTGCTGGATTATCGGGCCCGCACGCTGGACCTGGAGATCGGGCTCGTGGAGCAGATAGTGCTGCGGGAGCTGGAGTGTGGCCTCGTCTTGGAGGAGCTGTTTGAGGATCAGACATTCTTCCTGGCGCTGCGGTACGCGACCCCCACGTATGTGCGCGTGATGGTGGCGATGCGGCCGATTTTGCTGCAGCTGAGGTCGCAGGATGGTCGCGGGCCGGTGGCGTATGCCGCGGATCATGATCGGCCGGTTATGGTGGCTTGTTTGGTGGAGTTGGGGGCGTGGGATGCGCCGCCTCACTAGTGGTAGGGCCCTTTCTTTGTTCGTATGTTCTATTATGTAGGGAATACACGATTTGCGATTTACCCAATTTATTCGTTTGTCTTGTGATATTGTGGGCTGTAGCGCGGGTTTGTGCACACTATCGATTGTAAATTTCATAGCCGTCGACGAGGCTACCACCGAGTCAACTAGCCACAGCGATTACATATGATAAGATAGAGATATATCATAAGCTGGGTGGTGAAGCTGTTGGGATCGAGGAAGATAAATCCTCCCGGCTAGGGCTGGACAGGATGTTACCCTAGACCGGTGGAATAGATCCATCTCTATACACTTCATAATGACGAATTACTCTCGAGTAGATGGGGAGACATTCTTATCGTAGTAAGTTTCTATGACGTTTATGATACCTGAGCTCCGCACCTTGCCCTCGGGTTTGCAATCTTCAATTCTTGATAGTTGCTGCTCACCGTGATGGAATAGCCCTGACCCTAACCATTATGCTGCCAGTGACTGAAATTGTACCAAGTAGAAACCCCTTGATAATCTATTCTTCCCACTCAGGAAAGACTCGATAGATGTCTAGCCGGAGGAACCCATTAGCCATAATACAGATCAAATAAGAACATAGGACTAGCAAAGGTTTCGGCCGAAGTTCTTATAGACCCAAAAGACAGCTCTAACATTGCATACAGTACCTTTGTAATCTTCAATTCGAACATATAATCGAGAACCATATACCACCTCTTGAATGGGATACATTCTTTCATCCCAGCGGAGGACTCCATACGTTCTTGCCCATGAAAGAAGCACTTCGCCCCTCTTCTGCTATCTCTTTATACCACCGACCAGTCCTACGCAGATGAAGAGGATATATAAGAACCTCAAACCCAGCCTCTCACCCACCCACCTCTTCTATACCATATCCCCGAACCTAACGTAAGTCTAACCATCAAAAACCCCCTAACCCATCCCTACACTTACTCACCCCCACCGACGCAATGTCAATGCCACCCCCACCCCGCCAGCCCGGCAAGCCCCAACCCCAACCCCAAACTCAAACTCAATCCTCCTCCAGCGCAACCTACTCCATCCTCGAAGGCGGCCTCGTCGCTCTCGAGGACCCCACCGGCCAGGGCAACCACACCCTCATCCAGACGCAGGCGTTCCGCGACCACGCAGGCCACGTCTGGGCGTTCCGCGCCTGGATCCCGGCCGGCCTGGAGGCGGACCTATACGCCGACAGCATCGCCAACGCGCTGGCGCGGGCGGTCTTCCAGATTGATCCGCAGTTCCGCCCGCGGACGGACGCGGTCATCGATGCGGTCGTCACGCCCGAGGGGCGGGATGAAGCCACGTCCGGGTACTGGTATCAGATTCGGTATGAGGGGGAGGCGTCGTGGTGGCGGTCGGAAGTCGAGCACGTGGCGCCCAAGGTGTATCTGCTGGGGATGTTGCGGTATCTTGAGGCGGAGTCGCGGGAGGAGGGGACTAGAAGGGTTGTACAGTAGTCGTAAGGGGCTGTTGTGGTGTGGGTTGGGGATTTGCATCGGCTCCTTCTTAGTGAGCTTTTTCTGAGGGGATGCCGGACATGATATCCCGTGATTGTTTCTATACATCAATTGATGATTCGATTAATTCAACTACTTTTCCAGACTATTTGTATATTCTTGAAGATTTCTGTCACTGGCGAGTACAACTCTTACAGCATATACCCTTCCAACAAACACCCCTCACAACCTGCACCCCCCACACCTCCTGCACCCCCCACACCTCCAGCACCCTCACCCAGCTCAGCCCCCCTTCCCTTTTATTCACACTGCAACCAACACATATAAAAGCTCATAGCGCTAATCAAAAACCCTCACCCCCACCAAATCCGCCCCATAACTCTGCACCCCCTCGTCCCCGTCCACATTCCCAACCACCACCTCATTCCCGCCCACCGTCCACCCATCCACGCTCACCCCCAGCGTTGCACTATCCCACCACCCCAGCCCGGGCCCGAACAACTCGCTGTGCCGACCACTCAGCGGCACCTCCAGGCGCACCGGCGCCCCGCCATTCACGCTGATCGTGACGTTGCGGGCGTTGCGGCCCGCGTCCCACGACGAATCGAAGGCGATCTCGTTGTTGATGTAGTCCAGTTCCACGTACTTGGTGCCTGCTGAGGAGGCGCGGATGGTTGTGCGGGCGGAGCCGGACGGGGACAAGTAGCCTAGTTTGCTGCCTGTTGGGAGACAGTACCCTGTGCCGCAGGTGGTTAGGGTTGCCGTGCCGGAGAGGGTGAAGTTTGTGCTGGGGGCGTAGGTTCCTTGCGGTGCGGTTAGGGCTATTGAGGTTATGGGGAGGGTGGGCGTGGAGGAGTGGTGGAGAGTTAGGGTTGCGTTGGAGGAGGCGGAGAGAGAGATGGGTGTTGTGAGGGTCGTGGTGGAGGCGGGGATTGTGACGCGGGTGGTTGTTGTGTTGGAACCGGTGGAGATGAGGATCGTGGTTGGTGAGAAGAGCGGTTTGGATAGGGTGATGGTCAGAGTGTAGTTCTTGCTGGTTGTGAGGGCGTAGATGGGCGAGAAGATCGTGTTAGTCCTGCAGCCCTGGGGTCAGCTCATCGTCCAGCAGAAGTGGTACCACGCTCCCGACTTACCCGGATGTTTCCCCGAACACGTCCCCGGGATAAACCCCCTCGGCGATGGTGTCGCCTAATTCCAGCAGCATCGTCCCATGGCCCGCCACCGTCGCCGTGTACGACGTCCGCACCCCCTCCGCCACACTCCCGTCCCAGACATTCTTCACACGGCCGGCATACTGCAGCCCGATATCCGGCAGATCCAGGGTCAGCTTGCGCGACTCGTTGCGCCAGTTCACCAGCGCCGCGACGGTCCTGCCCCCAGACAACGGGCCGCTCCAGACTTCATACTCTTCCTCTGACCACCGACGCCGCAGACTCGCGCTCGTGCCCAGCGCATCCTGATTGAAGGCGATTACCTCCGCCTGCTTGAGGATCGCCAGCGAACTCTCACTGATGGCCGTGGCCTCGTCGTGCAGCGCGGCTCCAATGACCAGCGGGCTCTTCAGGATCGCCCACAGCGAGAAGTGCGTCTGCTCCTCGGCCGTCGAGAGCACCCCGTTGCCGACCTCCAGCATGTCGAGGTCGGGCCATTGGCCCGGTCCGGCAACGTCCGTCTGCGGGACTGCCTGGTTGAGGATGCGGTAGATGGTGCGCCACGCCGGGATGATGTCGTTGGCGATGCGCCAGGTGTGGCCCAGCGAGGGGGCCCAGAGCGCGGGGAAGTCCACGCCCCAGTCGCAGACTTGGAACAGCACGGTGCGGTTTAGCTGGGACAGGGCCTGGGACATGGTGGCGTAGCGTGAGGAGGGGGAGGTGCTGGGCGCATAGTTGACGTTGGGGAAGTTTGTCGCTGCGTCTGAGTAGCAGTTGTCGTCTGCAGTGAATGTGAGTGTTTGCAACTTGGCCAAGAGGTGTGTGCTAAGGGCAGGGGCTTACATTTCAGCGAATCCACCTTCCACGAGGCAAATGTTTGCGCATCCTGCTCTTCGTGGCCTGTCACAAGCAGCCGTTAGAATCCCACTGATATCAATATTAGGTGGGGGTATACCCAAGTTGCCCGTGTTGTTCGGCGGGCTGCCGCATAGCAGAATCCCTGCGTCTCCGTAGACCCCGAACAACAGCCCCAGATCGTGGATATACTCCCCCAACGCTGGAAAGCCCTGTGGGAACAGGTCCGGATTCCAGGTCAGGGACCCATCGGCCAACCGGTCGGCCACCGACCACCCGCAATCGGTGGTGACATAGCGGTAGCCCAGCGAGTCGAGGCCCAAGTCCACCAACGCTTTGGCATTGGACCGGACGATGGTCTCGTTGGGGGAGCAGGAATAGTGGTTGTATGTGTTCCATCTGGATGCTTTAGCGAAAGTCATGTCTGCTGAGGGTGTGGTCTTACCCCATGGGTGGTGTCTGGGCCAATCCATCTTGCAGTCGTGGGTAAAGCGACGGTGCAGCTACAGCCGCAGCCGACAGCAGCGACACGGCGAGAAGGGCAGGCATTGTTGCAATCCGGGGTATGCGGAGGAGGAGAAATGCGGAGGTGGATCTGCTCCTTTATAGCCGTATACGTAAACTGCCTGGTATGAGGGGAAGTTAGCGAGGCTAAGTCAAAAATTAGCCGAAGCCCTGACTTGATGCCTCTCCGTCACACTGCATTAGCCTCTGCTAATTTAACCGGTCCTGCAGAATGGAAGATGAGGGGAAATAAAATTCGTGTCATGCTGGACATGACACTTGTTTGCAGTTTCCACCAGTCAGCGCGTGCTACGCCTTGAGGGGGTTATATGGTCTGCTCGAGTCATGCTATTCTCTGCTGAAAGAACAAAATTAGACTGCGAAAGCAATGGATTCAACCTTTCCTGCGTTCAGGTATGATGCGACCGTTCACATGTAGACTTTGAAATCAATTGACAATTAGACAAAACTTACGCTCAATCTCAGATGGCTCTGTGCATTACTTCTGATTGTTATTCTCCAGCAACTGAACTTGATTTATATGATGCAATGCACAATCCGGACCCGCCGAAAGAACGCAGGCAAATTCCCTGTGATTTGTTGCATTTATGCAGCCTTTCCAGCTTTCCAGGAACTTCCAACACCAATCCTCCCTAGCGAAAATCCACAAACTATCAGTTGTTGTAAATCGCCAGACTCCTGAGGTGATGACTTGCAGCATGCGCCAAACCGATGCGTCTCGATCCATAGATCAGCATCCACGGAAGCCACCCGCCAACAAAGCACAGCATATGCAGGCCAAACCAGGAACCAACTAACCACACCATGGACCATCTCACACCGCAACTCTGCTGCCACTCCTCATTCATAAAAGAAGCCCCTGAACAGAAGCCAGCTGCACTTTTCCTCCGTTTACCTCCCAGAATCCCAAACCATCCCTACGAACTATCTCATACACCCCTTTCCCACCTTCTCCGACGCCGCGACCATGGCGTTGTGTTTGGTGGATGCCTGGGTCGTTGGGGTGGATGAGATTGTTTGGTCGCGAGCTAAGGGGGACAAGGGCTCGGTCGAGTTCACGACGGAGAAGTCCAAGTCGTCGGATGATTGGAATGGGGAGGCGGACGAGGTCAAGGTCACTCGCGAGGACAAAGAGGCGGACTCCGCTTGTGAGACTGCGTTGAGGGCGTGGAGGGCGCTGCGGTGCCGCGATGGGGGGCGCGTCGATGTTCGCATGGATGGAGCTGGGCTTGCTCGTGTCATGGAGGTCTGTTTCCTTGAAGGCTCGTATCCAGGTGACCTTTGCTAACGCTCACAGATCAATCCGCTGGCGGGGTTGTTCCCGAGCTGGTCGCAGCTGCCGCTCATCGCCGAGCATAATGGCGTCTCGTTCGAGGAAATGATCGATCATATCGTGCAGAGTGCACTCAAGCAGACGGGTCCGCATCGTGGTCTGAAAGTGTAGCCATTAGTTAGAAAACCCCGGGAAAGTCGTATCAAGGGCCAGAAAGCCAGTTGCTGAAACAGTTTCAACTCTCGTTCGATTTCCAATAAGATATCAAGATCAAGCATTATCATAATTTGTTCCCAGATAGGCTCCAATCATTAGATTCCAATCAATAGGCGCCATCAAACTTCATTGATCTTCCTCTTCCACCGATCCCTCACCGACATCATCCAATCCTTCCACAACTTCTCCTTCCTCCCAATCCGAATCACCCCGTCCTTCACCCCCATCCAGTCATCAATCGGCTGCGGCAGATACCGGTGCCGCGCCCAGCAGCACTTGAACCAAAAGCCCTCACCGGTCTCATCATAGAACGCGATCTGCTTACGGTAGCAGTCCTCGCAGAAATCCACGGTCGCACAGTCGAGACAGAAGTACATCTTTGGACCCTTCGGCCCGAAGGTCTTCATCTCGAATGGCGGGTCCATGCAGGGTCCGTTGCAGGTGATCCCATTAGTGACGTCGATCGTGTCTTGAGATGCGGAGATGTCGGGGATTTCGTGTTGTGTGGGTTTCGTGGAGGAGCCGTCTGTTAGCGAGGCCGCTGGGGTGGACTCTGACCGGTCAATCGTATGGCCGTTGACTCCTGATACCTCGGACGTAGACTGGCCATTTACAGCGGGCGGTTCTCCATTTTTCTGCGTGATTGGCGCCACATTCAAGCTGGATACCTTCGCATCAGTGTCAGCGGTTTCGCCTTGCTTGGACGGAAGTGATGTGGCCGAGGTCTCATTGCCATCCGATCCTTGGCTCTCGGAGACGGCGCTGGTAAGTGTCGAGTCCGCAGATGGCTCGTTTGCTTCCTTTCCTGTCTCACTTGTGTCAGCCCGAGGCTGGTCTTCTGCCCCATTTACCACCTCGGTGTTTGGTTCACCGTCGCCCTGAACCACCTCTTGCTCAGCGGGTTGCTCAGTCGAGTTGAAATTAGCATGAGCATAGTCATCATAGCTCCGGTCGACCACAGACATCTGAAGCGACAAAGCGACCTGCGCATCCACATCCAAATCCAAGAACATAAGGACTTTCGCCAGCAAGCGAAATGCATAGACATCGTTCGACCCAATCGAGTCTTCCAGATCAGCGATGCAGATATTGAATGCGCGGTCAGCATGGAGTCTGGCTTTCCCCAGGTTCCCGACCTCCCGATGCATCTTCCCCAGTACCAGAAAGGCCTCTGCCAACTGGATCGACTCCAAAATTGGAGTCCGCTCGTACGTACCGATCAGTCTCTCCAGCTTCGTAATCGACTCCTCACGGACAGTGGGCGATCGTGTCACGGTAAAGTTCTCGTGTTGAATATCAACCATCTCGGGGAAAATAGAGCTCATTAGCAGGATCGCGATCTGCGATTCCGTGAGATTGGCCAGCATATTGTCCAGTATATGCTCCGCCATCTTGGTCGCACGCGCGTCTCGTCGGTATATGAAGGCAAGCTCGAACTGGGTGGCTTGCGCCCGGGCCGGATCCAGTTTCTGCCAGTAGTCTACAGAGTCCTGGAAGGTCTGGAGAAGATAATCGACTCGTCTTGTTTCAACGGCAGCTCGACGGAAAAGGTCTTTCTTGTTGGTGAAATCGGTCGATCGGAACCACAGCCATTCCATTCGGATCTTCGGCTGCTGACGGCGGACGGCATCGATCACCTTGCTCCATTCACCCTTCTTGCCGTGGATGTTGACGATGCTCGTGAGAAGTTCCAAGAGCTGCTGGGTGTACTCGAGACCCTCCCGCAGAGCTTCCTCACAGGTTTCAATTGCCTGTTCGTCTTCGCCCATTTCCTGCAAGGCATGGGCTTTGAGAAGGAAAGCATTGGTACATCGCTCGTCGCTCAGCTCGGAGCCAAGGGCGCCCTTCTCCTCGGTACGGGCGGTTAGTGCAAGGTCGGCGTATTTTACGACCCGCTTCCAGCCCTCCCGTATCTCCTCATCCGTGCTCTCTGCCTGGTCCTGCTTCGAACGGTGGTACTCCGCAAGCCCCAAATAAGAATAAAATCGCTCCGGGCCGGGCGTGGTCTTATCATCCAAGTTTGTCTGATAGAACTCTGCCGCAAGGTCCTTCTCCTCGCTGTCCGCTATAGAATGCAACACCAATCCTGCGGCGATTCGACAGCGTGCGGTCTTGACTGGATTTGTAAACATTTCAGCCTTGCCATATTCCAGGATGTGCCTGGCCCTCGGTGCCAAGACGAAAGGAAAGTACCAATGAGTATTGTTGTCCCCTTCTGGAAAGTTCCCAGTCTGCAAGACTATTAGTGTGAACTGCTAATGCTCGGTCGAGAGAGATACGTACCGGCCACAAAGCCCTGCAAATAAACTTATAAGGGATCTTAGCTTCGTTGTAGGTCACCTTTTCCGTCCAGCTCTCGATATGCCCTTGGGCTAGCTGTTCGAGAACGCTTCCCGGCTGCATGATGATCTTTTCGACCCAAGCCTTGGCGCGCGGTGACAATCCCTCCTCATCATGAAAGCTCATCTTCCGGGCCCAGGCCATCAGAACCTTCAGGTTATAGCCACCGGACTTGTCGAAATCGGTGGACATGTCGTAAAGGTCATAATCCACATCCGCGTTGTCGTCATCCTGCTTCTGACGGAGCTCTTCGAAGACTCGACAGACATCGTTGTCATTGGTCAGAATCCGGGCCAGTGCTTCGACGATCTGCAAGCCTTGTTTCGGCGTGGTACGCTTCACACTGATGTCTTTGAGGTGCTGCAAGAACCACTGTGCGGCATACTCTTGCAGGGCCTTGCGTAGATTCGCTCCTTGGGGATCTCGGTCGCAAAGAATGCCACCCAGCTTCAGAAAGAAGAATACCCTTGACTCGATCGGATCGGGGATCATGTTATTCACGGACTGTTCCAGATAATCTCGGAAGGCAGGTTGGCGGAAGAGAACCTGCTGTTGCTTGCTTTCGCTTATCTTCTTCTCCAGTCGAGCTGCCTCGGTGATAGGACCTTCCGGCTGCCCCTCCTTCGCCACCGCGCTCGTCTGCGCATCTGCCGGCTGATAGTTGATGGTATACAACAAACTAGGATAGCAGATAATGGTCAGCGTAATCCCAGCGTAGCTCCTCGTCAACAAGCAGATACACACCTGGATAATGTTCCGTCGATCTCGCCGGCTACATTGAAACTACCAAAGCTAGGCTCCTGGTCAATAATCTCTTGCAGATCGTAAATAGTCAACGGTTGCTTGGCATATGTGCATAGGGCGAATATCGTTTCGACAATCCGACGGTCCATCTCACTCCGCTTGGCGCGGACGATCTCGATCATGGCAGTGTACAAGCCTTCTTGACTGTTGACGTTATCGATCTTAGCCAAGGCAGATGTTTCGTCTCCCTCTGATTGTTCCATCATGGTCAAGGTAAGATCCACCGAGGACATGACTCCTGAGCGGCGTCAGTTCACATCACATAGCCAAGACCCCACGAAAGTACTTACGGCTCGGGTTCTGCAGTAGTTTGCGCTCAATAGCACTACGAGTGGAATCCTTGAACGACTTCAAGACCTCGGACCCGTTGATGCGAGCCTCGATGATCCGCTCAAAGTCACCCCCGGCCTTGGTCTTGGCGATGAGGTCGATCTTAGGACATTTGGTGAACCCGAAGACCGTGTCGTAGAGCGAGTCATCCGTGGTTCCGGTCATGAGGATCCGGATGCCACACTTGTCCGAGTTCAAGGTTTGAAACAACTCGAGCATGCGTCTGCGGTCGGACTCCTCCATGAGTTCCACGCCGTCCAGCAGGATGAACACGTCTCTCGAGGTTTCAGGGGTTTTCTCGAACTTCTTCACGAGAAGGTTGTTCCACAAGAACTTGAGCTTCTCTTCTTGCTTGTCGTTCTGCCCGCCCTTGAAGATCTTCGAGGCGATCAGGTCCTTTGCGATCGACTCGCAAAGCTTAATGTCGTGGTCGGCAATCTGCACCAGGATGTACGCAAGAACATTCCGGAACGACTGAGACTCCTGTCTACCCGGTTCAAAGGGGAAGTAGGCCGCCAACATCGTTCGCCGCTGGTCGGGATTATTCTTGTCATTGGAGATATGGTACCGCTTGCTCTGCTCCTGAATCGACAAATAGCAGTGGTAGGCGAAGAAGGTCTTGCCGGTGCCTGCTTCTCCCGAGACAAAGATGAAGGGATTCTTGTAGCCGGTTGCCCACGACTTGTAGGCCGGGTCTGTCTCGGACCACGAGAAGGTCCCCGGCACGAGATGCTTCCGCACCAATTTCATCTGCGTTTCGACGCGGACTTCGGTGTCCGGGTCGAGGTCCTTGCTGTTTTTCAGAGTTTCCTTGATCTTTTCCAGCGCACTCGCCTTGCCCCACAACGGCTGCAAATCGGAAGATTTGATCTTCATGTCCTGCAGCGCCTGGATGAAGCTAGTGGGGAGGTTTTCGATCTTCTCGCCCATGCCCTCCACCACGTTGAGGATCTGGATCGGCAAGGTGGCGCGGAACAGCAGAATGACCTTTTGCACGTGGTCGCATTTGGCCATGATTTCCTTGTTCCGTCCTTTCAAAAGCGCCCGTATGTACAGTCCTGTCGCGAATCAGCTTTCAGGCACAGGCAGCAAACAACGTATGACCCACGCTTTCGACTATACTCGCTAAAGACCCTTCCACTGAAGGAGCAAAAGTCCACCATGGCGATGAGGATATCGGTCAATCGGCGCAGGAAGTTGGACTTGTCGAACTGTCGGTGTCGAAGGTCGCCGATATCTTGGAGCGCGATGTTCAGCGTCTCAAACGTCGACTCGATCAAATCGAAATCCTCCGACATATCTTTAGCCGCCTGTGCATGCGTCAGCCGACTGGCCCCAGCAATGGGATGATATCACTTCTGTCCCGTTCTCACCTGAATCATGTACAGAATCGACCCAGCTACCAGCTGCGCAGGCACCGCATACTAGACGTCGCGATGGGAAGAAACGTCAGTCCCTGCATTCAAATCCCAGCCAAACGTAATTTCCCCCTCACCGTGCCGGAAACATGCCCCTTGACGAAGGTGACCCCTGAGTCCACCCAGTCCAGGCACCCGGCCACCGACTTCATCACCTTATCCTTGCGGTCGCCGGGCCGTCGCGAATGTTCGAACAGTTTGGACGCCTTCTGCAGCCCACTCTCGGCGTCGGACCATTGATCACCCCGGGTCTGCAATTCCTCCAGGTTGACATTGTTTTCCGCCGCGATGCGATCGAGCGCCTCTTTCCACAGGTCGTCCAGGCTCTTGGGCTCCTTGATGTCTGCGACGGTTCCCGTGGGCGGGGTTGGCGCGGAGGCTGCAGCTGCAGGCTTGGGATTGGGCTTCTTATCGGACATGGTGCGCTCGTACGGCTAGATGGCCGCCATGCAATCGGAGGGGTTTGCGCGCGCGGTCGGAGATGCAGGGGAGGGGAGGAGCGCCCGTCGGCGCGAACCCGGGGCGATCAGGCATATTTAAAATTGCTAGACTAGCTGACGAACTCTTTAGTGCAGTGCATTAGTCTGGTGTCAGGTGGTCAAGGGGCGGATGAGGCTGAGGATGATCGTGCTGACCTTTGCTGGAGTGCGGGTCGACGGGAGATTGGACCCTCGCGCGATCGGACGAGCTGAGCGGATTGTGCGGCCTAACCCGCGCCTAACGGGATGAATACGAGGCTCGGGGGGTATGAGAGTGAGAGAAGAGAAGGAATGTGTGTTTTGCCCAGAGGACTGAGATTGCGAGGTGATTGCGGTCATGGCACGAAGAGTGTGTCGAGCTTTGGGTGTGGTGTGAGATGAGTTGACAGTGTCATGTTGTTATCAGTGATTGTTGATACTTGTGAGTGTGTCTGGGGAAGTCGAAGTCTGGATGCAGTCGGTGGAGAATCGGCGGGAGAAAGTGGAGCCGTTGGCCAGGTTGTGGCTGCCTTACTGCCTGATAGCCGTGCAGGAAGAGCTGCAGAGGTAGTCAGGCACGGACTCTCATGGTGTGTGGTGAGTGCAAGGGTCATATCTCGTACCTCACATCTGCTTCACAATACGTCCACCAGCTCTGACCTGCATTGCATTTCCCCCTTTATCGCGCAGAGCATGCGAGGCTGAGTCAGCGGCTGAGTGATGAGGGATGAGTAATGACGGGGAGAAGTGACAGGTGGATCACATGATTCCAGCAACAGAGGCTGACCGCCTGGGGTTCGCCGCCCGGAAGTATCTTTCCAACGCCGCAAAAAAAACTTTCCTGAATCCATCGACCCAGGCCCTGGCCGAGCAAACCACTCCTCCCTCCTCCATCTCCCCCGTCTGCTTTCCTTGCCACTTGTGATTTTGTCTGTTGATCTCTATCCAAACCTACTGAGCAACACCGGAATACAACCCATCGACTTCCTCCATGGCAACGATGCAGACCGTTGTTCGCAAGACGGGCGGTGCATCTGGAGAACCGCTTCCGCCCACACTTCCGACCGACACTGTGCCCGACCGCGTGAACACCTCCACTTTGGGATCATGGTCTCATTTGATCGCCGGCGCGTGAGTGATCTACTGCAGCTGGTCTTGACATCACCGAAAGAGAAAGCTAATCGACCTGCAGGACCGGCGGGATGGTGACCGCTATCGTGACAAGTCCTCTTGACGTTCTCCGCACCCGGTCAGCGCTTCCCTCCAGGCTGCTAGCTTCGCCTTGCAGCAACTGTCTCAGAGAAACTAATAGGGCCTTTCTTCTACAGCCTACAAACCGACTACTACCAGACCCAATCTAACACCCGCCTCACACCGCACCCCCACCAAATACGACAATCCTTCGTGCGCTCGTCGGTCAACCACTTCCGCGAGACCTTCGGCATCCTGTTCTCGATCCACCGGGTCGAGGGCTGGCGCGGGATGTTCAAGGGGCTGGGCCCCAGCCTGACGGGCGTGGTGCCGGCCAGCGCGGTCAAGTTCTACACATACGGCAACTGCAAGCGGCTGCTGCCGGAGGTGCTGGGGTGCGACAAGGACACGACGCTGGTGCACGCCCTGTCGGCGGCGTGCGCGGGCATCGCCACAGGCAGCGCCACCAACCCCATCTGGGTCGTCAAGACGCGCCTGCAGCTGGATAAGGCGGGCGCTCGCCGCTACAAGAACAGTCTGGACTGCACGCAGCAGATCCTCCGGCACGAGGGCCCCAAGGGTCTGTATCGGGGTCTGACGGCGAGCTATCTGGGCACCATCGAGACGACGCTGCATCTGGTCATGTACGAGCGCATCAAGGGGCTGATCGCCACCAAGGTCGATCTGGAGGGGGCCGGGCCCGAGTCGAACCAGTTCGTGCAGGGCTTAGCGCTGAGCGGTGCGTCTGGGTTGTCGAAGATGGTGGCTTGTCTGATCGCCTATCCTCACGAGGTAAGTTGGATCCTTGTTTTTAAGGGATGAATCCCGCTGACGGCTTTTGTACTTTAGGTCATCCGCACTCGCCTCCGACAGGCCCCTATGGCAGACGGGCGGCAGAAGTACACCAGCATCCTGCAGTGCGCGCGGCTGATCCTGAAGGAGGAGGGGATGATCGCGCTGTACGGCGGGTTGACGGCGCATCTGCTCCGGACGGTTCCGTCGGCGGCGATCACGATCGGGACGTATGAGCTGGTTCTCAAAGTCCTTGAGAGACAATGATTGATTTGGCCTGCTGCGAGGCGAGACCTTCGGGCGGCGGCCGCTGGCTTCCCTTCTCATGTATTATAGACTGTATGATCGCGAACAAAAGATGTGGCGCATAGATACCCTGTAATCCGACTGTTTGAGGGGTGATTTGTACAGGCCACGAGTTTATTTCGGGTGTTTTGTTTCTGTCATTTGGGGTTGGCGTTGAGCGCGTTTGTTTTGGTGCCCGGTGTTGTTGTTGTTGTTCTTGTCAGCCACTCCCGAAATATGTTTAGAATAGACTCTACTTGCTTCCAACCACGTTGATCGCTCGGTGCTTTATTTCAGTTTCTAGTCATCTTCGTCAAGCAACCATTCCACTGCTGCACTTAGCACCTAAGAAATCATCATTCCCAAGTTATCGTAGCCCTGTCAGTTGTTCACGTCCTGGGTGTCGAACTGGTGTCACGTGACATATTGTTTATTTTGTGCGGATGCTACGCGCAGTCCCGATAAAGGGTCCCTGCTCCTGTTCCCGATAGCAATGCGTTATCGAGCGGATCGTCACCAACTTACAACTCATAAAACCTCTTGTATAACAGAAGCATCACCTGGAGTTAGATCACTCGGATTAGTTTAGTGACGCTAACTTTATCCTAAACATGGCTTCGACAGCACAAGCACTCGCGAATCCTCCCAAAACATATACATCTGTAGAGGATTCACTCCAACCATGCGTCCTAGAATCCATTACGTTCACAATCCACAGACCAACCAGAGGAGAATATAGGAAAATCGGATCATAGCATTAACTCATTCATATACATAAAAAACATTTCATTAAAAGCAAAGGATGGTATCAAATCCCAGCGACCTATGCACACCGCCCGACAACTCGTTGCATCTCACAAACCCCTACTCCTCTAATCCTGCAGGAAGGATCTTACAAAGCAGCCATCACACCGAGGACGCCGGCGACACCGGCGACTCCGTAGCCCAGAACACCGGCGGGGGTGGCCTGGGCGCCGGCGGCACCGGTCGACGAGGAGGCGGAGGCGGAGGCGGAGGCGGAGGAGGCGGAGGCGATGTTGGTGACGGTGCCGGTGGAGGTGGTGCCGTCGTGGGTGGTGGTGAAGGTGGACTTGGCCAGGGTCAGGCTGTCAGAGATGGTGGAGGTGGCCGTCGCGGAGCCGTTGGTGCCGGTCAGCGTCGTGGTGGACGCGGGCCAGACGGACGAGGAACCGGAGAGCGCGCTCGAGACGGCGCTGGAGGCCGCGGACCGGGCGTCGCTGGCCGCGCTGGTGGCCTCCGAGGCGACGGACGAGGCCAGCGAGGTCACGTCCGAGGCGCCGGCGGCTCCGGCGGTCGAGGCGGCGCTGGCCAGCGAGGTGGCGGCGCCAACGGCGTCAGTGGCGGCCGACTCAGCGCCGGAGACGACGTCGGAGACGACGCCGCCCTGAGGGGAGGCCAGGGCGGCGGTGGAGAGGAGGGTGGTCAGGAGGAGGCTCTGGAGCTGCATTTTGTTTGTGTGGTGGTGTGATAAGATAGCGGTAATCGATTATCGATAACTTTATTGAGATGGTACCTGAGCCGAGGAGTGAGGATGGATGGATGGATGGATGGATGGATGAATTGAAGAGATGTCTGCGAGGTACGAGGATCTTTATATCCTCCATTGCCACCAGGTTCACGAGAAGCAAACGCAAGAAGTACTGTTAGTTACTGTGACTTAACCTGTCGACGACAAGAATAGCAGCCCAGCCCAGTCCACTACATGATCATCTCCATCCTGCTCCCCCACGTTGACAACCTCTCATACGAATCAGGGCTGTTGTGAAGGGTGGCTCGACCAGTCACGGCGCTGGAGACGCGGCCCAGGCCCCACTATGATTCCATTGCGAGCAGTCAGTGTCTTGCCGCGTTCCTGTTTCGCTGCTTGGCAATGACGTTACCCATGTATCTAGATTTTGGGTTTCTGTTGCTGGAATACTCGTCGTCATTGGAGACCCAAAAGAACCCCCAAAGGGCCGGGTTGTTTTGTCTGTGGCGGTACGGTTGTGGCGGGTGCCTTGCCCTGCCTCTTTTTGGCCGGCATTCCCCCAATCCGCTATGTGAGCCATCACACGCAGCACACCAGAGAGTGTGAGTTGGTGGGTGGTAGCTAAGAATAAGTTCAAACTCTGATACTGGAACGGAACCCCCGAAGTGTACCCCATTCGTTGATCCCCAGCGCAGTCTCGCCACTCACAGGCACCAGCATTGACAGCCCGTGTAACCCTACCATCGCCCGACTGACTGGTGTGGTGCAAACCACGTCGACTTTCTCTTTGCTACAGCTCCAGCTCCAGCTGCAGCTCCAGCCCCAGCGTCCTGCCGGCCATCAAACCTGCATGCACCCAAGCGTGGGTGCGTCATCAGCAACCACAGCCCGAGACATGGACGGACGGAAGTATCGGGCCGGGGGGACAGGGCAGGCAGATGAGGATCGTCAGATTCGTCGGTCGGATCTTGGCTGGGCTGGGTTTGCGTAATCTTGATGCAGGGTAACTAAGCAAAGAGGTGTTCGTGTACGAGTAAGTAGCTGCGAGCCAGTGATCAGCCTGACCACTACGGGTGGTTTCTCCGGAGGGATTAATTTACCTAGTACTGTACCTAGTACTTCTACTACCCATATGGCTCCAAGTTACTATGAGTACGTACTATGTATGTTACTGCCGTGGTGGTCAGCCCAGGGTTCCTGGACCCTGTTTTCCTCGCCCTTTTCCTCTTCTCGGGCGCTGGAGGGTCTGATTGGAAGGCCAACGGGGGCAGAGTCATCCGGGGTAAATTTCTTGTTTCCCATAAGGCTGAGTGGTGAATTTCGGCTATTTGGTGCTCACCCTCACCGAAATGCCTCGAAGGTTCCTCCTCTTCCCTTCTACCCCCAACAAACAAACCCCAAGACCACCCCCCCTCCCCCCCAGGTTATTCCCCAGCCAGCCCCAAGACCAATAAACTCAAAAAAAAACCGACCCCATCGAAGCATACTGTGTGAACAAATCTAGCTCCAATCCCCCAATTAAGCAAGCAACAAACGTACACATAGTAATGCTCATCCTCATGTAAACCTAAGAACAAGAAGAACCCTTGACGTCAGCCAAAGCAAGTGGAGAACACACCGTCCTCCAACGACGATCCTTCCCCTTCGGCAAGCAGAACCTCAAACCCTCCACCCTCCCACTCCGTCTTCGGTCTGCGCTTGGACAACCAGAAAAGAAATATCGCGCACAAACATTCTGGACCCGGTTTTTGACGTCAAGTCCACCCAGTCCCAATTGCCACTGTGCAGGAACGACATCCCCCGAAGGCACGTTGGCCGTCATGGGTGGTCAAGGGAGGCACGTGCGGAGTTGGCGGGCTGGTGCGATTTCGGGGTGTTGTGGTGTGATATGTCGACTTCTACACATACACACCTATTGCTGGTGGGGTGGGTTGCTGTGTTTACTGAGAGTAGATAACTCTGCATACACTGCATGTGTAGTAGAGATGGGCGGTGCTGCAGGTCATGCTGGATGATCTTCTACTCGTATCTCTGTCCCTACCGGCGGTCGGAGGTTACTTCTGACCTGAAGTAAGGATTCATTCGCCACATGTGGAGAGATGTCGACCACTCGTGTTCTCTACGGGAAGTTGTCGGTGCGATGGTCAGGGGTGCGGGTACGGTGCTGTGCGCGAGGATACACACACGGGTTCCTATTTGCCAAGGGTCAAATCTTGGCTGGACGAGGCCATAAGGCTGAAGGCAGTATCCCAACAAGAGCACAATGAGCACGTCGTCCGTTCTCTGGAAGTCACAAGGGAAGATGGCGCATTGGATCACATGATTCAGCAAAAGCCTGCCATCCCAGCAACAGGCCTTGCCCTGCCCTTGCCTGCCCTCATCCATGCAGCCGTGCAGCCACCCCCCTAGCATATCCCAAAGGAGCTGTAAGTTAACCGTAGCAGTAAACACTCCATCTCATTACCATTAATCGTAACCACCATGCGTCTGTCTATTAAGTGAAACCCCCGTCCACCCATCTATACCAGTATATTATGTGCGAAACAGAACCGCTATGCAAGACCCAATGCCTCCACCATTTTTATCCAACCAAAAAAACTTTTAATGAGCCAGTTGACTGGCCAGTTTGCTCTTCGCCCGGATCTTCGGCCCGTAGAAGACCAGCACCCAGGGCACGACGACCAGAACGGCTCCCTATATTCAAACAGGTTAGCACCCCTCCTACAACCACCGACTGGGAAAAGAAGTGGAGAGTAAACGTACAATACCGCCCAACAAACTCGACGCCCCGGGGTACCCCACATTCGTGAACAGGGCGTTGGTGACCAGCGGGAAGACGCCGCCGAGGAGATTGCGGCCTATTTCCGTCAGTATTTCGCCCTCACTGGATACTTTTCTGGAGAAGAAGAAGAAGAAGAAGAAGAAGAAGAGAGGAAGACAGGGACATACAGCACGACTGCGCGGCGATGGCCGAACTAGCAAAGCGGTGGTAGGTGTCGGCCAGATAATTGAAGACGGCCAGGTAGACGGCGAAGATACCCATGGTGGCGCAGCCAATGGCCATGGTCGGGGAAATCCACGCGATGGACGAGTACGAGGTCCAGCCGAACCAGAACAGCCCGATGGGCATGAGCACCGCCTCCACGCACACGAAATACAGGCGGGCTTCCGGGGTGCGCGGGAGGAGGTTATAATGCTGCGCGATCTTGTCTTGGTAGATGCTGATTATCGTGATGAGGAGGGCGCCGACGCACATTGCTTGAGGATGTTAGAAGGGGATTGTCTCAAGGGAATGGGATAGACGCGGCAGGCGGGGGCATACAGGTGAAGACAGCGCCGGTCTGCTCGAGGTTGAAGCCATGATTGGTGCGGAAGACCAGTGGGATGGAGCCGAACTGCAGGTACAGCACCGCCCAGCTGAATGAGACCCAGAGCGAGAAGAAGAAGACAACCGGTTCGCTGACCAGCATATCTGTTCACCATCACCACCGTTAGCATGCTAGGGTTCCAACGAGCTAGAAACAAGGGCAACGTACGCAAAGGCCGATACACCGAGATCCCGATCATCTTGACCAGCGACACCCGCTCCTCATCACCCTTGACCCGCCAGCGGATCCGCCGGACCTTGCCTTCCGCCAGCATCACTCCGAAGTGACCCGCCGCCTCCAGCTGCTCGTAGTACTGGTTGATCGCCTGCGCCTTCCGGCTCAGCAGCACGCTGCCGCGCGTCTCCTTGAAGAAGCAGAAGATCACCACCACGAAGAAGGCCGCCACGATCGCGTGCGAGTAGTACACCCACCGCCAGGTCGTGTGGTGGACGATCGCGCTCGAGATCAGCGGGGCCAGCCCCGTGCCGAACAGCGCCGCCCCGGAGAACAGCGCCATCGGCGTGTTGCGGTCCTCCGCGTGGTAGATGTCGCTGATCACCCCGCCCACCATCGTCGAGAAGGTCGACGCCCCGATCCCCTGCAGGACCCGCGCCACCAGGAGGCCGCCGAAGATGTGTGTGCCGCCGCAGGCGAGGAGGGAGGCTGCATGAGGGAGACGAGAAGTTAGTCCAGATGAGCGGGAAACGGTATACACTACCGGAGTATATCGCAGAGGGGAAGGGGAATCACTCACCCGTGAACAGAATCCCGCTAGCCACGAAAATCGGCCGCCGGCCGTTAATCTCGGAGAAGGGCGCCAGCACCATCGGCGCCAGGGCAAACCCGATACAGAACACCGTGATGGTCAGGTTGTAGACCACCGCGCTGACCCCCCACTCCGCCGTCAGCACGCTTGAGGCAGGACTGACCTCGCCGGCAGAGTATCCGGCCAACGCCGTGACGGCGCAGGCGATCCAGGTCATCATCGACTTGCGCCATTTCGGCCACAGGAACGGGGAGATGTATTGCTCGAGGTTCGGGGGGTCGGGCGAGGCGGATTGATTAGGGCCGGGCGGGAGCGTGATGCACGGGGTGGGCAGCGGCGTGTCGAGTTCGAGGTAGCGGTGTTGGATCTCCTGCGTCGAAGGGTCGAAGCTGGCAGCGCCCTTTTCGTCCTCGTCGAGATACGCGTTGGGTGTGGTGGAGCCAGTTTCTGGAAGGAAGACGGTGCCGGTGGTCGACGAGCCCGAATCGTCGAGGGGACCCCGCGGGGTATCCGAGGGGGGGTATTGAGGCATTTGTGATTCTTACTGTGATAATGGTCCGTATCCGAGTGCACTGGTGTAGCTGAGCATGTGCATGTGGGAAGCAGGTTATGTTTATGTGTGTCAGCACATGAGTCGTCTCTCTCGTCACCAGACCTCTACGAGGGAGCAGGGATGTGAACGTTATTTAAGAAGGATGACGCCGGTGGATTTGTGGAGGAAAAGCACAAAACACGAAATTGGAGAAATCGTCCCTCGGGATGTTCTCCGAGGGCGCCAGATAATGAGGCCTGAGCTGCCCTCCGGAGTTGGCACCTCCCTCCGCATTCCTTGCCCATGTGCAGAATCCACAGCGCTATACAAGTGACCTGTTGCTGCAGGATATCCGGCCACATCTCGCCGACCTATAGCTCGCCTTTATCATGGCATTTGCTGCAAGATGACTTGATCGAATATCAAGCGTAGCACGAGTGTCGGCCGATACCCGCGCAACAGCATGACGCCGCACGCGCAAAATTCTGTCCTGAGTTGGGGAAACCGGTGTCTCCACTTTCTCCAATTCGGAGAAGACTTTCTTTGACTCACTCGTTGAGCGGCCAATCGCATGGCTTCCTCGCGCTGGATGCCGGCTGCTGTCATTGGCCACAGATTGCTTTCGGCATTGTTGCGATTAGATCGGAAAAGATAAGCCGCACTCGGTAAGGTTGTGAGTAACTACCGCACTGAGCTATCATCTGAAATAACTGAGTAAAGGGGTTAGCATACATAGTTATAGTGATTGATGTTCACTCACGCACTGGTCCGCCATTTATCGCTCCATGTATTGAAACATCGCCAGACGTTAAAGCTTCGGTGGCATATCTGGTTCAATAGACCCGGGGGACTGTGCAGCTGCACACCCCTCTTACTTGGCAGATCAACCATGCACGTCGATACGTTATTGTTGATGGACTATAAGCGAGACCACTCCCTAGAAGTAGTGAAAGTTGGTGCTTACCGGGTAAGACGGAATAAGCAAGACGCCCGGGGCAACTTGAGGCCCGCTTACGCACCATTATTGAGTCGCAGCTATTCGTAAGTTCTTCTCCATTTTGGGGAGCGCAAGGGGCCAGCGGTTGTCTGCAGCATGTGATCCCTCTCGGTGAAGTGGATGTTGTACCCTAGCGTTTACTTTGGTGCGCTGTATTCGCATCAGCTTCTGTAGTATATGGCGGATTGTTCAGGTCGAGAAGAACAAGAGTGCTGGGGGTGGGGAGCAAGTATTACCCACACGAAGGTGTTAAGACCAGCTATGTTGGGGAAGGAAGGCTTGGTCTAGAGCCTGGATAAGCTTGTAGTGCAACAAGCATGTATCCCTTGTGAATTCGGTACCTGCTATGGATTTCATGGCATTGGCGATCTTAGGTGCGGCAATCGTTGCGTTCAGGTGCGTCCATCTTGAAGCAACTAACGAGATAGACGCGAAAGGCGAGACATTGAGTTCGCATCAGGTACGGTAGGCTACATCTTATGCGTCATGCTTAGCTTAGTTAGAAAAAAGTACGCATACACCAAAAAAAGAACAGCAGTGTGAACGCTTACTACAGCGACGATCAGCAAGCAGTACTGCGCTACGACGAGCAATATCTGCTTGTTCTGTCCTCGCAGTCACCATTTCAATCGTTCCGTCTGTTTTCTGTTGACCGGCTTTGGGAAGTAGTTGGACAGCAACAACTGTGCGAACGCTCTGTAAGATACTCAGAAATTCAGAAGAATCAGAATCATCGCCGATCAAAGCAATAGACACACTACCAGCGTAAAGCGACACCAAACAGCCAAGTCCAAAAATACAAGTACCGGCAAGACCGTGTTCTGGTCTTATAGGATCACTCGTTGGGCGACGGAATAGCATCTGACTCTGGAAAGCTGACTCCGTCGCAAAACGGAGTCAGGGGCTCGCTCGGGCCGACCCATGGTCATGTTGTTTAAGACTATTGCCAAACGGCCGCCTCACTAGCCCTGTAAGTGTTTCCGGAACCCCCAAACCAACCTTCAAAATGTCGCTCAAGGACTGATATTCTGAGACAATATGCATTCATCTTAGTCACATCGCGGTGCGCGGCGGGGTTGGACGATCGGACATGCTCGTCAAACAGCCGCTACCGTTTCTCCTTTCCAAGACAGCGTGCAGAGGGTGAGTGAGATTTTGCAACAGCAAGTAATCAGGATTGCAGGTCGACCTGTCGCTAGCGTCATCGTGATCATGATTTGGAAGGTTGCATGTGCTGGTCGGGATCAGTCGTGCAGCCCGACTATAAGAAACGTATCGTTATTCGAGAAATCAATAAACCCACTCATCAGGATGTAAGACATTAGGAAAATGGACAAGGCAGAAGAGTGAAGCTTCAGACGCAGGACACACAATGTATTCCAAGCAGCGCCAACTAGCTACCCTCCACACAACCAAAAGCGTAGAGCTGAAAGCCACACATGCGACCAAAGTCAGTATTCTGCACTATGTCCTCCTCATGCACCAAGCCACGGACGGCGCTGGAGTGGATTCTGCATAAAAGAGACACCCTGAATTGGACGGATTGGAAAGGGCGCCGGGCGGAGATTGTCATTGTTTCACCTGATGGCCAACTTGTCCCCGCCAAGACCTGCAGGAAACATGAGGCCAGCATGCTATTTTTGGGCGATGGCATTGTTTGTGGCAACTGGCAAAGACACGGGCATAGTCGGTGCAGGATTATCGTATTCGCATTCTATTCTCTACGTTGCCTGGTAAGGTGGGCGAAGTGAGTTCCTATGGTTGAGGGAGGTTTACACTTCTGCCTAGACACAACGTAGCCTCCCTATCGAGAAACACAACTGAATGTAGTCGAACGGCACTACTCTCCCCGGCCGAACCCTCTTCAGGAGAAAGAGGGGTTGGAAACCGCTCAATTGCCACCAAAGGTAACTCAGCCATGATCTTCAATGTTCCGAGACAACTGTGGGGGTGGCTGTCCCGCAGTTATTACCTCATAAACTAGCCCGGATTTTACCCCCTTGAGGGGAAAACGCGGGAATCGCCGATTACATGAAGACGCCCGCCAACGGCTAAGCCACCACCGTGCTTAGTATCGAGTACTGCGGTAGATTGGACGGGCACATATCAAGGTTCTTACGCTCCTTACTGAAGAAATCGCTAGAGACGATCTCCGATCGATCGATTAATATTCTGACAAACTATTGAATTGGATCCTCACTTGAGACCCTCAATTCCTGCCTCGTGAGACATCGCCCGCCTGATCAAAGCCGCTGTGTAAGAAGGGTGGCTGTCTCACGTGGCGGGTAGCAATATTACTATGTACCAACGGAGCTGCATGTAACCGGTTGATGCGAACAACCGAAGCTCGGCTGCGAAGGGGAGGAAAACAGCCCATCGACTTTCAACAACCCTCCAAATGAGACAATGTCTGTAGTGTGGGTCGGATCTCAAAGTCTTGCCAGAGCAGAAAAACGGGGACAGCGACCGGGGGTTGCTATTTCTGAAATGCCAATGGCTCCCCAAGGCCGAATGTCTCACCCACATGGGCCGAATCCTCACCAATTAGGGCATCCCTCGGTCACGCCCCATCCGCCGCTAATTTTGGGGCTGGAGGACCCTGAATGATTCAATGAATAGTAGCTGCGAGACAATGACAGCATAGATCCTGGTTGCAGGTGCAGGAAATAATGGGAAATAATGACTGGCCGTACTGGGCTGGGTTGGACGAGGTGGTCATGGCTTCACATCTGTTCTGGAAGAAGATATAAAGGGACTGCCCATCCTGCTCATCGTTCCCTTCTCATCATCAACAACAACATCAACACTTCCACGACACTACACAACCACACCACACCACACTTTCTATTCTAGCTTTTATTCACTTCAACAAGCCCCAACCACCACCATGCAGCTCAAGAACATCGTCCTCGCCGCCTCGGCCGCTGCCACCGCCGCCGCTCTCCCGGCCACCGACGCCTCCCAGAGCCAGACCTTCGGCGTCGTTTCCATCCACTCCACCAGCGCAGTGCAGTACCAGCCCTTCACCGCGGCCAAGAGCAGCCTCTTCGCCGGCCTCCCCAGCCAGAACGCTAGCTGCGCCCGTCCCAAGGAGCAGACGGCCACCTTCTACATCCAGGACGGCGCTCTGTACCTGTACGACCAGTCTGCCACTCCCCAGGAGTTCTATGTCGACCGCTCGGGCATGGGTATGTCTTCTTCCTCTCTTCTCCCATACTCTGCATATATTATCTTGCTGCTTCATTAATACTAACATCTCTATGTATCAGGCCAGGGTAAGATCGGCTACACGACCGGCGCCCAGCCCGCCCCCAAGAACGCAGAGCGCCAGGGCTGGTCCATCGACGAGAACAACCACCTGCAGTTCGGCGGCAGCGACCTGATCGCCTGTCCCAACAGCATCGACGGCGCCTGGAGCATCTGGGCCAGCGCCGGCGTGAGCAACCCCGCCGGCAACAGCGACTGCGTCGGCATCGCCGCCCGCGTCGAGACCACCAACGACCCCAACGGCTGCCTGTACACCCAGTAAATGCTGTCCAGCGTAGTCGGTAGTTGTGGCATTTCCGGTCTGGACGCGGTTGATCCAAGCAAGTCGGGCTGTTTGAGACGGTTCGGTATATGTCTGTGGTCGGGGATAGTCATACTGTTTCTTCATGTGTTGGTCGGAGAAAAGTGGAGGATGGTGGATGGTATTGACAATTTGTAATTGCGATAGGGTTTTAGTTCTGGTTAACTGCAATATACTCCCTTCACATCATCTTCGCTGTTGGACAGTAGTACGTGACGGTAGTTTCTGTCGAATCTGTTTCCTCCCATCTCTCCATTACGACCAAGTTCGCTTGGGGATGGGGAAACAGCTCAATCCATAAACGCCAACCCCGTTGCAATATTCGTCCACAGCTCCCGAACCGCAACCTCCAGCATCTCCTTCTCTTTCTCATTAACATTGCCAACCGCAAGAATCCTGATTGCACCGTCCCGCCCCAGCACCGTCCGCACAGCGAAGTACTCCACCCCAAGCTCCTCCGCCATCTCCCTCCCCCCATCGATTCCAGGTAAATACACAAACGCGTCCTCAGTGACATCCTCACCCCGCAACCCGGCTAGCACAGACTGGACGAACCGGAAGCCCGCGTAGGCCATGCACGTCGGGGCGCTTCCGGCGCCCTGCTTGCTGGTGACAATTTCATCGCTGCCGAATTGCACGCCTGGCCGATGGTCACAAAATCAGTATTCACGTGTTTATCCCCGCTGATGTTCTGGAAGAGATAGAGAAAGACGAACGATGCACAAGTCTAGCCAGGGGTTTCTCGTCAGCGTGGATGGGCGGCTGCGCCTGGCTGTATAGCGGCACAATTGTCGCGCCGCTGTACCCTCCGACCACGATGACGCGGAGGCGCGTTGGGTCCATGTCGTCTTTCAACGCCTGCGCGGCGAAGGCGGAGCCCTGCACCACGTCGAGGGTCGTCCGAACAGCCGCGCGGGCTGGAAGACCCCCGCCTGCTGCAGGGTCGCGGCGGCGACGGGGACGTGAACGAGGTCATAGAGTGCGATCTCGTCAAACAGGTCACTCTGTGGCAGATCTATATTAGCTGGGATGCCACACTTGTAGAAGTGAAAGATCATGGACACTCACTGCTTTGCAGAGAAGGCTCAGCGGAGTGCCGATTTGGCCGGCCGCGCCGATGAGTGCGAGTTTGACCATGATGACGGGATGAACAATAAGGGACTCTGTCAATATGTTGATTACAAGTAAATGAAAGGTAATTGCCATAGAGGGATGATGGAAGGATAAAAAGAACGACACATTGAAGGTATTTGTATAGAATCGGACATGTAGCCGAGAGGCTCGGGGAGAAGGCCGTCCCGCAGTGTAAACCCTACGATTGTTCTTCCAGCCACCGGCTTGTCTCACCGCGACATGCACTTGATTGACACTGAATTGGAGCGAATGTCGGCTTAGAAGCTCCGGAACGGTGGCTTAATGCAAGTAACTCTAGTAGCTTTGACTGGTAGTGTGTAATACAGTGCGCTCATTACTTTCCTGTGGGCTCCGGGCTAATCTCAATGCCATACGGACTATACACTGTCGACGCTCTTTGCCGCCCTAATCGAAGATTAATAAGAGACCTTGGGCTGCTGCCTGTGTCTGATGATTCACACTGCCTACTACTCCTTACAGTTTATACCACGTGTAACAAGTTCATATCTGATCTTCAAGTATACACACATCATCATCATCATCATCATGAACCCTGCAAATAGAAGTCTCTAATTCTCCCTTGAATACCTCAACCCCTTAGAATACAGCATCTATCCCCAACCACATCCAAGCCCACGATCCGCTACACCTCCGGGCTCAACAACTCTGCCCCCACAACCGCCCGCCGCATATTCTCCATCGCCCACGCCTCCATCTTCCCCAGGCTCTCGACCGAATGCGTCCCCACATGCGGCAGCAACAACGCTCGCTCATGCCCACCCAACCTCTCATCCACTGTAGGATCACGCTCATACATCTCCAACCCCACAGCCGCAACATGCCCGCTCGTCAGCGCATCCGCCAACGCCACCTCATCGACCACCGCCCCGCGCGCAGTGTTGATCATAACCACGCCCACTTTCATCCGGCCCAGCACCGCCGCATTGATCAGGTGCCGCGTTTGGTTGGTTAGCGGCACGTGCACACTAACCACATCACTTTGGCTGATCAGCGTCTCGAACGAGACGTACTCCGCTCCCGCCGCTTGCGCTGCCGGCAGGGAAGTACGGTTGTGGCAGATGTACTTGCAGCTCGGTGGCAGGCGGCTGATGAATTCGGCGTCGAAGGGGCCTGCTATCTGCGTTGATTTTAGAGAGCCGTGCTTGGGGTGAATGGGGGTATGGGTGTAAGGGAGGGTGCTCACGGCGCCACTGGCTGAGGTGCGGTAGATGGCGAAGATGTTCTTGTATTAGGTCTGCAGGCCGTGAAAGAACTCTGCTCGGCTTGTGCTGGTAATAACGTCTGTGTGGGCCACTTCTTGAAGTTTGCTGTAGATGGGTTGAGCGTGGCGGATGGCGTTGAAGAAGAGGACGAAGGGTTTAGAGGGGGGCATGTTCTTGGAATGGGTTGAGGAATGATTTGGGTGTGAAATTGTCTTGCAAAGTTTTGATCTGGAACCCGGAATCGATGTGATCTGTGCTTTACTTACAATAGATTAGTAGATCAGCTGAAGGTGATGAAAGCTTATCTACATGACGAGGCCAATGCGACGTGGATGTTTAGGGCAATCAGTGCTGACGAAGGTCCGGGTAAAGGCTTCGGCGTTATTTATCGACGACCTGCTCATGGAGGGTCGGAAGCGCACTGCACATGTCTCCTCACAATGCGCATGTCTATCATACCTTGATGTGCATGATGGGCAGCATTGTCGAGGCATCTCGATTGACTGGCTTTAGAAACCTTGCTGCCGTTTCGTTTGGTAATGCCCTCGGTGCGTAATACTTGCATGTACAGTGAACTATTTGGTGTAGCATCCAGAATATGTAGCTTACAAGCCCTGTGTGACAACCAAGCTCATATCCAGGGATGCGCTGTCATCGAAGAAAGCCGCACAAGTCCCAGCCCCACAGCCAGTGAAGGCCATGGGATTCCCCAGAAGGAAAGGAACGGCCGGGAGTAACCCATGAAACCAGACAAAGTCAAAGAACACACTTCGTGAGAATAACAAAGAGACCACCTCCAAACCCAGCTCGCTGGGACCCCAGTCCAGTCTATAAATAGTCCAGCGCCATCCATGATTCGGCCATCCCCGACCACACTCACGACACCCATGCCCACCACACCCACAACCATCTCTGGAGACCGGACTCTCACCCGTAGCCACGATGGTTCCCCGTATTGTTGTCCAAGGCAACCTTGTCATCCACGGCAATGTGTACATAGGCGGCCCATCCCGCCCCTCCGGAAACGCATCTGGGTCTGAGGATTCGACCTCGTCGGACACCGACTCGGAGTACTCCACCGGTCTCCGGCGGCCGGATTGCACTTGTACCTCGTCGGTGTGTACTTCGTGCACCTGCACCTCGTGCAGGTCGTCCGAGAGCAGCAGTTCCTCCGGATATGCTAGCTCAGGCTTCACTACGCAGGACAATGTACCCGGGGTCTTCGACTGTACTCCTATACCAGTTTCCCGGGCCCCGGCGATGCCCGTGTTCTCCGAGGGTTTCCTCTTCGAGCCCGAGGATCTCCTCCTCCTTGACCTGGAGGTTCCACCCCGCCGGGAGCCCTCACCAGCACCGGAACCAGGCCCAGCGAACCCCCCACCCCGGCGCGGCCCCCTCTATCGCGGGCCCACGATATATGAACTCCGTACAATGCCTGCTACTGTCGAGGAACTGTTTGACCTCTACTATGTCCATGTGAGCACCACGACCTTCGTCGTGCTCATCTTGTGGAAGAGCGCGGAGCCCATCGACTGGCACGGCGAGCCCCTGCGCGTCCTGCGGTATGAATTCCATACGCTGCGGGGTTTAAACCACACGGCCCAGGTCCTTCACGGGGTCATCCAGGCCGGCAAGGAGATCTGCCTGTACCGCGAAGACGGCAACGGCGACCTCGAGCATTTCACCTACAAGGGCCGCACTCACTTCCACTAGGAGCACGACCTCTGGGTCCTCCGCCAGTGGTGCGACCGCGTCCCTCGCGAGAAGATCGAGGGGGTCAGCGACACGGAATCCAATGGGTTGGGGCTGGGGTTGTGGTCTTGTCCGGGTGGTCTTGGGCGGATGTGAAATAGAAAATAAAAAGTTATCCTGAGAAGGGTTTATTATTACTTTGTCTCTTTTGATTTGTGCAATTCCTTTACTTGTGATCGTTTGTTTGATGTCTCAGCAAGCCAAGAGGGTGCTTGCTGATTTGAGCTCTAAATATTCTTTACCCTGAATAGCCAAGTCACAAAGGCTGATTAGGTAGGGCTACGCTTATCCACTCTGGCCAGTTCAATTTCAATCCAGCGGCATAACTCAGAGTTCGATGCGAAATTGACAAATGTTGAACCAAGCAGGTCTGAAACAAAATCCCGACATATACAGACCACGCCCCATACTAATCCATCGGTGTTTAATCCATGTATTACATCTTGTTGCCTTCAACGACTAGTGAGGTTCTGGATAAGCCGTGGCTTAGCAGACCCCGGCGGGTACACCTCGCACCCATTCCTCAAGCCCAAAGCTGGGAAAGCACCCAAACACCGCCGCTGTCCCTAACAACCCAACCCCCGTCCCCTCCGAAACAGCATGCAGATGCAAGCTTTGACCTGATGCAGCTACAGCGTTTGATCAGAGCGTGGCCGTCTGATGGCTTTCTCACTATCGGAACTCAATTAAATCGACCATCACATGCGCCCCACCGTCCGCCACCGTGTGTATTCTGACTGGCGCACAGGATATTTCGTGTCCGCTGCCCGCCAAGGCTGTCCTTGGCGCCCACCACACAGTCTAGCCATGAGTAAAAGTCTGATTCCTGCAGTCGTGAATGCTGCCCAGAGATTGAGGGGACAATATACTGCAACGGCCGTGCAAGGTTACATGTGGCACTTGGCTCGAGACGAAGGAACGTCGAGAGTTCGCGCTAGATGGAATAAACTCTGCAGCATGCAGCATCCCTGCTAGGTTGTTTGTGGCGTGTCTTCGCACCACGTTATAACCATCCTATTTTCAGGTTTGTTGAGGCCTTTGTGCGATTACTTGTGAATGGTGAAGGCCCTGCGTCCCAGCAAGGGCCATCCCCACTGAACAGCACGACATCACCTCAACCGATATGAACGATACCGCAGATTCCGGCCGAAGCAAACTTCCCCGAGAAGCACAACACAGAAATAACCCCGGAAGCAGGCGGAAACGAGCCAGAGATTTCTGAATTCTACTCTGTATGGTGGGATGCTGTACGGAGTAGGCGAGATCGCATCCACACTGCCCAGAACGATCCATACTGCTTTCAGTGTTAGCTGCCCCGCCGGATAGATTAAACTAGTGCTGACGGCGCGGACCGGATGGCACAGACTTGATTAAGGGTGCAATTATCGTCTTCTCCGCTCGTGCTGTAATCTGCGCTGCATCTGACAGCAGATAAAAAAGATTTTATCATGAAAAGTATGTATACGAAACAAAAGAAAGCGTACTGGTCAAGGACCATAGGCAGGGCCAGCCTAGCGAAACCAGCTTTCCTCAGGCGCATGCGGCGTCGTCCTCCCCGCCGTCTCAACATCACTATGCGCACTACGCGTCTCATGCGTGATCTCGATCTGGTTCGAAACCACAATCGCCCCGTTTCCCGTATCCTGGTGAGTCCCGAGGCGCCGCGGGTACGCCTTGAGCGTCTGCATCTTCATATCGTCCATCATGCGCTCCTCGCTCTCTGTGAAGGTCAGTCCGATCGTGATCGGATCCGACGCTTTGCCGCGGTAGCGGCTCGACGAGGCGCCTGGGCCCCCGCCACCCCCGATGGTCTGCAACCCCGATGGGATCTTGTAGCTCCTCTGGGAGGACTGGAAGGCGCTGCCGAAGGCGCGGGCCAGCCACGTGCGCAGCAGGTGGAAGACCATGGGGAGGTTGGTGGTGATCACCGCCGCGAAGGTCTCGCGCGTGCCCCATTCTTCGGCCAGGGAGGCGCCTTTGTCTTGTTCCTGGGTTGGGGGAGTGGATGTTAGGGTTGAGTTTGTTTGTGGGGGGGAGGGGGAGGACAGGGTCAGACTCACCACTATGATGAAGACGGCCTTGAGAGTCGCGCAGACGAGGATGAAGATTCCCGCGCTGAGGATGATGGTCGCCGCGATCTTCTTGATGACTTTCAGGCTGGAGCCCCAGAGCATAGGGATTGGAAGGAGAATGAGGTAGGGGTCGGTGAGGAGGTTCGAGGCGAAGGTTATGGCGACGACGGGCATCGAGATCGCGGGTTGGCAGACGTCTGATAGTTGTTGTTAGTAGGCGTATTTTATACAGTAAGTTTGGGATTCTAGTGAGGCTCACTGCCAGGGTTCGGGTAGATCTGCCAATTCTTGTGGAATGGGCGACACGATGCGAGGATGGTGATGATGCTCGCGAGGAAACTTCCAACGACAAGCACAAAGCCAACGTAGATGGGAATGCGATATCGCCGGCCGAGGCCGTCCTGTGACAGTCACATTAGTTGTGATCGCAGACGAGGACGACAGTGGGTGATGCTCACCATCAATCGTGCATAGAAGGCCAGCATGGACAGCTTAAGAAAGCTGATCAATGCCGAATAGGTGGCCCAGCCCGCCAGTTGGATCTTCGAGCCGATCACCCTGACATGACAGATCAGTGAACCGTGCAGTATCGACATGGATCGACCGACAAACCTGGCATGATATTCGGGACTCTCTGGCGTCAATGCCGCCCGTTGAGCGTCGGTCATGCTGTTGTTGGCCAAACCATGAGCTACGGCACCCACGTTATAGGCCAGAGAGACCTGCGCCGTGTAGAATAACTGCAACTCATGTCAGCGTATGATTCAAGCTCGCAGAAAGGCATGTACTGACAATTCCAACCCACACCAGGTAATCATCCAGGCGCAGATGCCTCCATCCCACGACTCGAGCCTGCGCCCAGGTCCGCAGCATCGTCACGGACACACCGATGGCGTACATGGTCCAGAGCTGGACGTTGGTGTTGTAGGCCGCCTTGGAGGCCGCATCCCGCGCCTCCAGAAGAGTCCACATATCCTGCGGGCGGAGTTCGATCAACAATGTGAAAGCGATGTGTAAGACCCTGGAGAGAGTGGTGACAGGGTAAACGTCTCCATCTGTTTGAAGGAGACTAGAGAAGCGCGATCAGTTTAGTATAAGAACGGATGTGGATATTGTTGTGCAGCCGCATTACACAAGCCGAGTCTGTGGTTCTGAGTTTGAACTCGGCTATTGGATCACGAAATTCAGGAACACCTGGTGGCAAATGCAACCCTGGACATGGGTGTGCTGTCCTATTTTTGAGTCGCCAGGTACGCTCAACACTGAGCCTGAACTCCGTGTGGACGGCCACTCGGCTGCGAGGGGATACATCTGGGCCCGGGCTTGCACTGTATCCTGTGCCTGGCTGAATTGCAACTGAGAAGTATTGTGCATTGATTGGCCGTGTTCCAGGACCGGAGATCAAAGTTTGAGAATCGAGTCTATAACCTGGAAATTGAAGGATTATTCAGTTGTGCAAACTAACAATGGCCAGAAAAGACCTCGGTTGGAGGCACGAGCACAAGGTTAAATCACGGAGAATCCATCGCCCCACTCCAAATTAGATAAGGTGTTCCACTCAGGAGTCCTGAAAAAGCAAGTGATCGACCAAGCTCCGCTGCCTTCCGTCGTCCCCGAGGGGATTGATTCCATGGTTGGATGGAGAGTGTGGAGCATGCCACTCTCAAGATCAGTTAGGGCCACCACCACATCCGGGCCTCCATCCACCCCCCTTCCACCACCATCCCACAAGGAACCCTTCAGCCTAATTCTGGTCATCGGGGGCTACACACTCGGGAATATCTCCGGTGCTACTACAGGAACCCGGATCATATGACTCAATCCGGTCAGGAACACAATCCTGAGGCAAACCCCAATTTTGGTCGAGTGGAGCCTCGCGGCCACGAGTATTAGAAATAAACTCGCCTCGTCCCCCGGGGAGGATTCTCTCCAGCGACGATCTTCAACACCCGTCGTCCGTTGTCATCTTTGCTTGTTTCCCTTCACACTTGGCTTGCCATCCGGTTTCTGCACACGATGTATCAGTTCAAGCTGGAATTGGTGACGGTTGTCGCCACGTGGGCGCTGTCGGCAGCCTGTCACTCCCTGCCTCGTGCGGCCGATGGGTCGGAGGGGGCTTGCCACTCAGGCGATGCCGACTTCAAGGCGCTCGGAGCCAAGCTGTCGAGCACCGCGCAAGTCTACTGCCCGGGCTCCAGTGAATTCACCAATGTGACCACCCGCTGGTCGGTTCTCGAGGAGCCCGAGGTGAATATTGTCTTTGTGCCTGGCACGGAGAATGATGTTGCCGAGATCGTATGCCTATCTTCATCCATGCACTACCAGGGAGTGATATACTGACAAGGATAATGGACAGGTGCAATACGCCAACAAGAAGGAAATTCCCTTCCTCACCTATAATGGCGTTCATGGGGCTCTCACCTCCTTGGGCAAGATGGACTATGGGATTGCCATCTACATGGGCCAACTGAGCAGCGTGCAGGTCGCCGCCGACGGCCAGACCGCAACCTTCGGTGGCGGCACCATGTCCAAGATTGTGACAGACGCGCTGTGGGCTGCGGGCAAGCAGACGGTGACAGGCACCTGCGAGTGTGTCAGTCTTCTGGGCCCCGCTCTTGGGGGTGGCCACGGCTGGCTGCAGGGCCACCACGGCCTTGTCGCCGATCAGTTCGTCTCCATGAATATTGTGCTGGCCAACGGCACGCTGACCACGATCGACGAGACCTCCGACCTTTGGTGGGCCGTCAAGGGCGCAGGCCACAATTTCGGGATCGTTACCTCGCTGACCTCCAAGATCTACGACATCGAGCACCAAAATTGGGCTATCGAGACCATTATCTTCAGCGGCGACCAGGTCGAGGCCGTCTACCAGGCGACAAATGACTACCT